GGCATCGCCGGCCACCATGTTCCGGCTTAAATTACTAATCTATTATTTACGTTGGCAATTAACTTTCATTCTATTTTTAGTAGAGACAGGGGTCCCTCGCGCTTGCTCAGGCCGGTTTTGAACCCTGACCGCATCGAGCAATCTGCCCGCCTCCGGCCTCGCGCCAGAGTGCTAGATGATAGGCGTGAGCCACCACTACCGGCCTAGCTTCTTTGGTTTTTTTTCTGTAGAGACGGGGTCTCTCTGTGGTGCCCAGGCTGGTCTGAAACTCCTGGCCTCAAGTGATCCTCCCGCCTCGGCCTCTCACGGGGCTGGGATTACAGGCGTGAGCCACCGCGCCCGGCCTAGAACGGTTTTTGATTCACGACAAAATTGAGCGGAGAGTAGGGAGAGTTCCCGTGTCACCCCTGCGCCCGTGGGTGGCAGCTGAGGGGCCCGCACTGACACAGCCTCGCCGAGGCCCACCCGCCAGGGCCCCGCTGGCACTGTGCACGTGAGAGCCTGGGCACACGTGTCACCGTGGTGACAAGTGCCCAGCCTGGCAGTGCCGCAGTGTTCTCGCCGCCCTGCCCGCTCTCTGTGCCCGCCCTCTCTGCCCTCCCCGCCCTGGCAGCCACTGCCTGCCACGGTGGCATCGCTCTGGGCCAGCCTTTTCCACCTAGTGACACGCACCGCGCCCCTCCATGCCTGTGCTGGCTCGGTAGCTCATGTCTTTTCAGAAGACACGTCTGAGCGGCCCACGGCGGGTCTGCCCGCTCGCCCGCGGGCGGTCCTCTTGTTCGCTTCCGAGTTTCGAGTTTCAGCGATGATGAAAAAGGCTGTCAAGGCCGGGCGCGGTGGCTCACGCCTGTCATCCTAGCACTCTGGGAGGCCAAGGCGGGCAGATCGCTCAAGGTCAGGAGTTCGAAACCAGCCTGAGCCAGAGCGAGACTCCGTCTCTACTATAAGTAGAAAGAAATTAATTGGCCAACTAATATATATAGAAAAAATTAGCCGGCATGGTGGTGCCTGCCTGTAGTCCCAGCCACTCGGGAGGCTGAGGCAGGAAGATGGCTTGAGCCCAGGAGTTGGAGGTTGCTGTGAGCTAGGCTGACGCCACGGCACTCACTCTAGCCTGGGCAACAAAGCGAGACTCTGTCTCAAAAAAAAAGAAAGAAGACGGCTGTCAACATCCACGTGCAGGTTTTTGCGTGGACATACGTGTCCCACCGCTTCAGCTGCTAACGCCGTCCCCGATGTCGCCCTCTCCCCTGTCCCCTCCTCGGGCAGCGCCGGGCGGAAAGTGAGGTCCTCCCTGCCAGGGAGGACGGGTGGGGAGAGCGCCCTCGGTGCGTGCCAGGGCTGGCCGTCCGTGGGGCACCCTCCCCTCGGCTGGAGAGCCACCTCCCGCTGTCAGGAACTGTGACCTGTCTGGGGTCATCGAGCTCGGGGCGACTGGCTCAGGCGTGGAATCCAAGACCGTCAGCCGCTGCCCGCGAGTGCCTCTCTGAGGGCTCCAGGGCTCTCTGGGCGGGCCGCTGGTGCCACTTCTCCCAGAGGACAAGAGGCCTGTGTGCGTCCAGGCCACGCCTACGGCTCTGACCTCTCTCTTGCGCCCCACCCCCCCGCCGCCCCTCGGGGTGAGCCCGCCGTGCCTGGGAAGAAGGCTCGGGGCCCAGGAGGAGGGGCTGGGCCGGGGCGGGCATGGGAGCCCCCACAGGGCAGGTGGCCTTCCGTCCACCAGACCAGACCCTCACGGGGGTGACCGCCCCGGCCCAGTCCTCCGTGAAGCCGGAGTCTCACTCATCCTTTCTCTTCCTCCAACACGTCACATCCGTGCCCACCTCGGGGCCTGGGAATGTCGTTCCCAAGTGTGGTCCTGGCACGGCGGGACCGGCGTCCCCCGGGGCTTGTTAGGGTGCAGCCCCCGGGCCCCCAGAGCAGATACCGTGAGGCCGGGCCCAGGTCCGCTTCACCAGCCCCCAGGTGACACCCATGTGAGCTCGAGCCTGGGAACCACTGAGCTCCGCTGCTCTCTCCGCAGGGGGTTGACGGCACGCCAGGCTGGCCAGGACTCCCCGGACCCCCCGGGCCCAAGGTGGGTGTCTGCCGTCCCTCAGCAGGCCTGTGCCTGCCACCGCCCTGGGTTTGTCTGCCTGGCGAAGGCCTGTCCTGGCCCTTTCGCCGGCTGGGCCAGTGCCCAGGGCAGCCAGAGCCAGGTCAAGGAGGGCCCTGAGCGCCTCCTGCCCACGGGCCTGGCCCCGCGTCTAGGCCACTTCCCTCCCCTCACTCCCCCAAGCCCTCTTGGTTCCCATCTCAGGGGACCCCACTCTGCGCCCTGTCCCCAAGCCAGGCATCGGGGTCATCCTCCAGCTTTCCTCCTCCAGCCCCTCATGACAGCCCCAAATCCCGCCAGTCGGCGTCCAGGCTGTCTCTTGAGCCCCTGAGCTGCCCCAGTGTGTGCCAAGGTCCAGACTGGCAATCAGGGGCGGTGGTCCTGTGCCCCCCCCAGCTGGGGACAGCCCTGGGGCGGGTGGGCTCAGGCACCAGGCCCCCCCAGCCCCGGCACCCCCTCCCTGGCCTGCCCCGGCCCAGCGCTCCCTCTCACTGCAATTGTTCCATTTCAGGGCGAGCCAGGGAGTGCGGGGCCCCGAGGAGAGAACGGCGTGGACGGCGCCCCGGGCCTCAAGGTGACTGCCCCGCCCTGCAGGCCCCTCACACCCTCACCCAGTCGGGAGGGGCCAATGTGGCTTCGCCTCTAATTTGCCCTTTTGGGGAGGGCCTGGGGGCGGGGGTCTGCTTGGACTTGCGGGGTGAGGCTGGCCTGGGGCGGGGGTCTGCTTGGACTTGCGGGGTGAGGCCGGCCTGGGGCGGGGGTCTGCTTGGACTTGGGGGTGAGGCTGGCCTGGGGCGGGGGTCTGCTTGGACTTGGGGGTGAGGCTGGCCTGGGGTAGGGGTCTGCTTGGACTTGGGGGTGAGGCCGGCCTGGGGCAGGGGTCTGCTTGGACTTGGGGCGTCAGGCTGGCCTGGGGGCGGGGGTCTGCTTGGACTTGCAGGGTGAGGCTGGCCTGGGGCCAGGGGGTCTGCTTGGACTTGGGGGTGAGGCTGGCCTGGGGGCGGGGTCTGCTTGGACTTGGGGGTGAGGCTGGCCTGGGGGCGGGGGTCTGCTTGGACTTGGGGGTGAGGCTGGCCTGGGGGCGGGGGTCTGCTTGGACTTGGGGGTGAGGCTGGCCTGGGGGCGGGGGTCTGCTTGGACTTGGGGCGTCAGGCTGGCCTAGGGGCGGGGGTCTGCTTGGACTTGGGGCATCAGGCTGGCCTGGGGGCGGGGGTCTGCTTGGACTTACGGGGTGAGGCCGGCCTGGGGGCGGGGCAGTGCGTGTGAGTGAGTGGCGAGGCCCCCCCCAGGGCCAGGTCACCACACAGCCTCTGGCTCCCAGGCCTCGGAGTCCCCGTCTCTGTACGGTGGGGGCTCGGGCGTCCTGGCGCTGGAGTGCCACTGTCACACGCTCGGCCGTCAGGGCCCCAGCCTTGTGGGGAGAGGGGCCTGCAGGCGGGCGGGGGTGGGGGCCCTTGGGCTTCGCATCTGCACCCCTGCACATGCGCCCCGCCGTGTGTCTCCGCAGGGGGAGCCCGGCCACCGAGGCCTGGACGGAGCGGCGGGGCCCCGGGTAAGCTGCTGCCCCAGCAGGGCCACACCGATGGACTCCCAGGGTCGTGGTGGCCTCAGAGCCCTGCCCCCACGGAGCCAGAGAAACAGTGGAGCTGCAGGAACTAGGAGTCCTTTTAAATTTTTTAAATAATTTATTAGTGATTTTTTTTTTATTTCATAACACTTGCTTTTGGTAAAATGCTCAGATGTGAATATATGAAAATAAGAGTCCCAGGCCGGGCGTGGTGGCTCATGCCTGTAATCCTAGCTCTCTGGGAGGCCCAGGCGGGAGGATTGCTCGAGGCCAGGAGTTCAAAACCAGCCTGAGCAAGAGCGAGATCCCGCCTCTACTATAAATAGAAAGAAATTAATTGGACAACTAAAAATATATGGAAAAAATTAGCCGGGCATGGTGGCGTATGCCTGTAGTCCCAGTACTTGGGAGGCTGAGGCAACAGGATCGTTTGAGCCCAGGAGATTGAGGTTGCTGTGAGCTGGGCTGACGTCACGGCACTCACTCTAGCCTGGGCGACAAAGCGAGACTCTGTCTCAAAAAAAAAAAAAAAAAAAAAATCAGGCTTTCCATTTTCCCTTGAGAACTCAGGAGGCTTGAACGCCTGCATTAAGGCCGATCACGGGCACCCTCGGCTCAGACCAGGCAGGGCGTGTCCCTGAGTCTCCCCTCCTCCGCCTGCCCCTACCCTCACGTGCTGGGATGTCGCCAGCTTGCATCTGAGAACTGGCGCACACCAAGCATGCGTGTGGGCCCCGTCACACGGCTCTTCCATTCGCCTCCTGCCCGGGTGCGATGCAGAGATAGCTACGGCTTCGCCCACCCTTGTTGCTCTTCCCTGAAACTCTCATGCTGCTTCCGGCCTCAGGGTCCCCCAGGCCTCAAGGGTGAGCAAGGCGACACAGTGGTGATCGACTACGATGGCCGGATCTTGGATGCCTTCAAGGTAGTGTTCCCAGGAAGCACCCCAGATGTTCATTTCCTTAAAGAATAGTCGGCCGGGCGAGGTGGCTCACACCTGTAATCCTAGCACTCTGGGAGGCCAAGGCGGGTGGATTGCTCGAGGTCAGGAGTTCGAGACCAGCCTGAGCAAGAGCGAGACCCCGTCTCTACTGTAAATAGAAAGAAATTAATTGACCAACTAATACGTATAGAAAAAATTAGCCAGGCATGGTGGCGCATGCCTGTAGTCCCAGCTACTCGGGAGGCTGAGGCAGGAGGATCGCTTGAGCCCAGGAGTTAGAGGTTGCAGTACGCTACAATCGCGCCACTGCGCTCCAGCCTATGCAACAGAACGAGACCCTGCCTCGAAAAAGAAAAGGCCCCAACTTCAGTAGACGCCTGATATGGAAATCAGTGCTGTATTGAGACCCGCAAGATGCGGAGAGACCTGCAGTGAATGTGGCGTGCATGTGGCCCTGAGCTCCCCAGAGGCCAAGGCAAAAAAGGGAAGCTCCCCACTCAAGGGCAGGAGACAGAGCATTTCCTGTTGTCTAGTCCCAACACCGTTCCCCAGGAACGCTGGCTGGAGGGCTGGGACTTGCAGGGACTTCTGTGGGGGAGGATGATAGCAGCAAGGCCTGGCCCAGCAACCCCCGGGGAGGTGTGGTCCCTGTGTCCCCGAACCCTGCCCAGTCACTGGCAGACTTGGGGGCCCCCACCAGTGGAGAGACAGGTTGGATGCCAGGCGCTCTTGGGTACCCCAGAAGGTCCCCGTGAAGTCGGGGAGGGGTGGTCGCCGGAGACCAGACGGGGCATTGGCACCGGGTCTCCGAGGAGCGCCAATTCCAGGTGTCTCCCGAAGGCCTCGGGGAAGCACGTGTTGACGGTAACTGTGGCCCACTGCGGCCGGCATGGCGTGTGGTGTGGTGTGGCGTGGCCCCAATGCATGTGCACATGGGTGGCGTGTCCCAGCCGGCTAGCCGAGTGGGAGGAGCTCCGCGAGGGCAGGGAGCGAGGAGTGGGACTTCGAATGCCCGCTAGGAGGATGACGATAGCCAGTTCTCGAGCAGGTAATGCCGCTAAGGCAATAAAAACCCATCGGGCCGGCGTGGTGGCTCACGCCTGTAATCCTAGCACTCTGGGAGGCCGAGGCGGGCGGATTACTCAAGGTCAGGAGTTCAAAACCAGCCTGAGCAAGAGCTACTAAAAATAGAAAAATTAAAGTTGGCCAAACTAAGTACGTATTAAGAAAAAATAGCCGGGGGTGGGCCGAGCTGTAGTCCCAGCTATCGCCGAGAGGCTGAGGGCAGAGAGGACGGATCGTGTTGAGCACGCAGGCAGGTTTAGAGGTTGCTGTGAGCTAGGCTGACGCCATGGCACTCACTCTAGCCTGGGCAACAAAGTGAGACTCTGTCTCAAAAAATAAAAACCCATCGTGCTGGGGAGCGGCGAGAAGGCGTAGGGGGGCTGGCGCCCCGGCAGAGAGGCCTGGGTCTAAAGCAAGGTGGGTAGGATGGAGGGCATGAGGGAAGCCCAGGGCCATCTCAGTGGAGACGCCAACAAGAAAGGAGCACCCGGGGGAAGGGACCCAGCAGTCGGGGGACCAGAGCTTGTCCAGAGGCGGAGTAGAGGCAGGTGATGAGCCGTCGTGGGCAGGCAGCCTGCAGGAAGGACAGGTCAGGACGGGAGCTTGGAAATGGGGGCAGACCTAGAAAAGCTAAAGACCCCACACTCCACCCGTGAGACCGAGGAAGTCCCCGGGACCAGGAGGTAGCAGGCAACGGAGCCAGATGGTCAGAGGGCTCACAAGACAGGCAGAGACGGCAGTGCCAGGCTGCTACTGGGGACGCAGTTTGGCCCAGCCTTGAATACCAGCAGAGGATTTGACCTTGCTTCCAGAGGCAGTAGGGAGCCATCGCAGGATCTTGAGCAGGGCAGTGCTGTGAAGAAATCTCTGCGTGAGGCAGACTGGCTCTGAGGGCAGAGGGGCTCAGAGCCCTCTGTGGCAGTGGACACGATGCTCTCTTGCCCGTTGCTGGGTGCTGCTCCCTGGCCTTCTCTGAGACTTGGGGGCCAGATCCAGCCATGTGCAGTGTGGCCTGATGTGACTAGGGCAGAAGCGGGCTCCAAGGTCCCTTGGCCCTGCTGCAGCTCAGCTGGACAGGGACTTGGCCCACGGTGGGGGGCTGGGCAGGCAGCGAAGGGAGGCCCTGCCTAACCACTGACTGGGGTGACTTTCACACACAGGGTCCCCCTGGGCCACAGGGGCCCCCAGGGCCACCAGGGATCCCTGGAGCCAAGGTCAGTGCAGATGCAGCTGTGTGGTCCCCAAGCCTTGTCCCCAGGGCCCGCCTCCCCCTCCTCCCTGCATGTGCCCTTTCCACTGCCCCCTGGGCTCCTGGCCTGGCCGCTGGGGCTCAGAGAAAGGGGCCCTGCTGCTTCCTAACCAAGCCGGGGGCCTTCGTCCTGGGCGCTGCCTGCTCTGGGCGGCTTTCCCGGGACCCTCATTCACATGTTGAAACTGAAGAACCAGCCCTCGTGACATCCCGCCAGGCCAGTGCACGGCCAGTCCTGCGCTGGTGCCCCTCGGTTCACAGCCTGCCCCTTTGTCCCAGGAGAACGAGCCCAAGGCTCTGAGGGCAGGCAGGTCTGGTCCTGGCACTGCTGCACCTGGGCCCAGTGGCCTGGAGCAAGCCACTTGACCCTCCACACCCCAGCCTCCCAGTCTGTGCCACGGCTGCCACAGCTCCCAGCCACGGGCCACGGCTGCCTCTCAGGGGGCCACGGAAATGAAAGGGAGGAGGTGGGGGGCACCTTCCTGGAGGGGCAACTGCAGGGACCCCTCCCAGGCGAGGTGCAGGTCAGGAGGCAGCTTAAGCCGCCAGCCCCTCTCTGGCCAAGGGAGGCGTGACCCCTCTTACTGTCTGTTCCCTTCCAGGGCGAGCTTGGACTGCCGGGTGCCCCAGGAATCGATGGAGAGAAGGTCTCTGGGCCCTTCCTTTCCTTGGTGATGCCGGTGCCTGGTGTTGGGCTCTGTGTGCGTGTGTGTGCGTGCGTGTGCGTGTGTTTGCGTGCTTATGCATGTGTGCAGTCAGAGTCAGAAACCACCGTGTGCGGGAGGCCACGGGACACAGAGGCACTAGGTGTGGGCTGCGCAGCCAGGCTGCCGGGGTGCAGGGCCCGGTCTGCCTGCAGGCCTGGGACGAGCCGCCCACTCCAGGCAGGTTCCTCGTGCACGCAGGCGAGAGGTGCCAGGGCTGTCCTGAGGGTTGAATAACCGTGCAGGTAGAACACTTAGAGCAGTGCCCGCCACGGGGTAGCAAAGGGCCCACAAACGTCAGCTGCTGGCATTGCTGTCTTTGTTGGTATTATTGTAACTACACGTGTGTGTGCACACGTGTAATCCTACACGGATATGAGGACATCCGTGGGGTCACTCGCTATTCGAGGTCCCCAGTGTGTAGCACACCTTGGATGTCACGTGACTGGCTGAGTGGAGGGGTGCAGTGGCTATAAGGGTATGGGGGGCTGGCAGTGCCCCGCACAGGCCCTGAGCTGTGAGCACAGAGTGTACCCCACGAGTGCCCCTCAAGTGGCAGCCCCAGGCCCACGTGCCCCGCCCCCTCCTCCCCATCACCCTGCTCCAAGTGCCTGCACCCCGAGTGCAGTGAGGCCGGAGTGGGGTCTCCCCTCCCTGTCTCCATCCAGATACCCCCCCACAACATTCTGCTGAGGCTCCCAGCCACCCGGGCTGGAGGTGGGGACCCACAAAGCGGAAGTGGGGGTCTGGCCCAGACTAAGCTCTGGGGACCGCCCGGGTAGGGAAGGGGAGATGCCTGTCGAGCCCCACTTATCCCTTGTTCTTGTGGCTTTCAGGGTCCCCGAGGACCAAAAGGAGACCCAGGGGAGCCCGGGCCCACTGGACTCAAAGGGGAAGCAGGCGAGATGGGCTTGTCCGGACTCCCGGTAGGTGGCCGGGCTGGGCCACGCGTTGTGGCCAGTCTCCAGGAGAATGTGTGCCCCGGCCAGGGCTGCCCCTGTGCTCTGTGAGCCTCCACTTCCTCGTCCGTACAAGGACCCCCCCCCCAGTATCCTCCCCAAGATGAAACAGGAGGGCCGGCCCGGCGGGGCCAGCGGGCAGGCTGGGGGCGTCAACACTACGCTCTGCCCTGAGCTGCCTCCCGCCCGCCCTCGCTGACTCGGATCCCTGCAGGGGCAGCCTCCCTCGCTGCCAGGTGTCCTCCCGTCTGATTGGGGGGGGGGTGATAATTCCCCGCCCCCACGAGGGGACGTGGGGACAGGGCTGCGAGCTGTGGCCGGTACCCCATAGATACCCACTGTTGTCATCATCGCCGTGGTCCTTGTTGCTCTTGTGGCAGGGCTGGAAGTGCCACCGGGTGTCCCACAGCCTAACCCTAACCCCGCTGTCTGTCCCGGAGGATTACTCTAGAGGTGGCCCTGTGGCGGGAAGCGGGATCTTCGCCCCAGAGCCCCAGTTGCGCCTCCGGGGCCGGAAAGCAGTCTGTGCGCTGGCCACGTGTCTCTGCAGACCTACCGTGCTCACCTCCCAGGGCCCGGCCGGGCACAGTTTTTAAGCTGCAAAGGCCAGCTTATCACAGCTGCGCACCAGTTGTGTGGGGAAGGGAAGGGGAGGTCGCTGAGCACCGGCGGCGTGACTTCGGTGCCGGACACGAAGCGCTCACAGGCCATCCCGTCCTGCAGGGCGCCGACGGCCCCAAGGGGGAGAAGGGGGACTCGGCGTCCGACAGCCTGCAGGAGAGCCTGGTAAGGGGCATGGGGTCAGGGCTTCCCTCCAGCACCCAGTCCCAGCCAGTGGGGGCTCGAGCCTTGGGACAGAAAGGCCACCTGGCCCGACCGAGCCCAGGGCAGCGGGGGAGAGTAGCAAGGAAGCCTCGGGCCGTGTCCCCCAGCTGAGGCCCGCCCAAGAACCCAAAGGCCAGCACTGGGCGTGCCCTCCTGGACACAGGAAGGAGGCTCACCCCCGGGGCCAGGGCCAGCACCCTGGTCCACAGCCAGTGAGTGTGGGGGATGGGTGAGGGATGACGGCGCAGTGGGTGACTAACCCATCTCTGACCCTTCCTAGGCCCAGATCATAGTGGAGCCAGGACCCCCTGGCCCCCCCGGGCCCCCAGGCCCCATGGTAAGCATGGTTTGGATTGAAGCAGCCAGGACACCAAGGGGGGAGGTGGACAGGCATCCTCATGGGGGGAGCCGGGCATGTCCTGCAAAGAGAGCAGAGCCCAGGTCAGGGCCCAGGGGCCAGCGGACGGCCTGAAGCCTTTGTGGCCACCGAGCAGGGCCCTGGCCTGCAGTCTGGGCCCAGCCGGACAGCCCTTCTGATCTGTTTCTCCTCCCTCCCTAGGGCCTTCAGGGAGTTCAGGGTCCCAAGGTGAGTGGGTGGAACCCCCTGCTCACCCCAGACTCACAGCCTGGGGTGCAAAGTCTTGCTGGTGGGCGAGTGGGGGACCCGCACCCAGCCCCGGGCCCAGCCCTGCGTCCTCCCAGTGCCCTAACGTGTCCTCGGCCAGTCCCCCACCTGGGGCGCTGCTCCTTTACTTTCCCGTGCAGTCCCCTCTGTCCTCTCTCCTCCTCCTGTCGGCCTCCCTCTGAGTCCCCGCCTCACCTCCTTTCTCTGCGCCTCCCCCACCCCATGCACAGCTGTTTCTCAACTGCCCTCGCGCAGACAGAGCATGAAGTCTCGGGGTGGGTGTCGTTACATAACAGCGTGTTCTCTGCTCTTGAATTAAAACCGCGAGTGTGGCCTGCCTGTGCGCCCAGCCCCAGGGAGGCAGACGCGGAAGGGGAGGCCATCTGGCCGTGCTGCTCAGCTCGCCCGGGCCTGCCCCGGCGAGCAGCACTTCTCTGCTCCCCCAGCTCGGAGGCCGGATGGGGGCTCCACTGTGGGATCCCAGGCCCTAGTGGGGTGGAGCATGGCCCAGCCAGAGAGGTGCTGCTCCTGGCTCCGCTTTTCTCCTGAGGCCTCCCCAGACCATGTTTGCAAGAGGCAGCTGTTGTCAGGGACGGGTCCAAGCTTGGGGCTCGGAAACCTGACTGGTGCTCAGCTCTGCCACCTCCCTGCCCAGCTGCGGGGCTGGGCCCGTCCCTGGCCCTCCCTGCACCTCCTTTCCTCATCTGTGGCCGGGGTGACTGCAGTCACCTTCCATGATTGCTGGGGAAGCGGAGGTGGGAAAAGGTGAAATGCACATGCCTGTGGCTCATCCCGACTGTCCCTGCCATGGAGGAAGCTGGGCCAAGCCTGTGGAGCCTGGATCTGCCCCTCCGCCGTGCACACCCACCTCCCACGCAGGCCCCAAGCGTGGCCGTCTGCTGCCTGTCCGCCCCTACGCCCTGACCGATTTCCCCTCTGCTTCCAGGGCTCGGATGGAGCCAAGGGAGAGAAGGGCGCATCTGGCGAGAGAGGCCCCGGCGGCCTGCCTGTGAGTGTCCCTGCCTTGTCTGTCCCCAGAGGGTCACTCCTGTAGCTGGCATGCCTCCTGACCCAGTCCTTTTCCGTCCAGGGGCCAATTGGCCCACCGGGCCTTATCGGTCTGCCAGGAACCAAAGGAGAGAAGGTAACCACCCTGCTCGGACCCCCCCCCAACCATGGCCGTGTGTCCACAGTGTCAGCCAGCCCTGCGTGCTCAACCCTGCACTTCGCGGGGTCCCTGCACCTCACGGGGCCAGAGCTCAGGCTCTGTGGGTGCCGTGTCTTCCCTGTCCTCTGAGCCTGCGTGGTCGGTGGGTCTCCCTGCCCCCGTGTCTGTGGCCAACTCACAGAGCTGAACTTCATCAGCAGCTGTGCTTCCGGAACCCTCCCCCCCCCCCCGGCCAGGCCCCCTCACCCTTCTGTGTCTCTCCTCAGGGCAGGCCCGGGGAGCCAGGACTAGACGTAAGTGCTCATCATTCACTCTGAGTGTTCTGGTCCCTCTTGTGTGTGTCTTCCGCCCGTATACGGTAACCTGATCTGGCTAGCTCAAGTGTGACCCCCTTTCCCAGGGCTGGAACTGCAGCTGACTCCTGGGTCCTCAGTGCCAAGTTCAGTGCACAGCCCAGAGTTGGTGCTTTATGGAAGGATGGATGGATAGTGGATGGATGGATGGATAATGGATAGATGGATAGATGGATTAATGGATGGATGGATGGATAAATGGATGAATAATGGATAGATGGATGGATAATGGATAGATGGATGGAGGATGGGTAGATGGATGGATGGATGGATGGATAATGGATGGATAATGGATGGATGGATGGATGGATGGATGGATGGGTGGATGGATGGATGGATAATGGATGGATGGATGGATGGGTGGATGGATGGATGGATAATGGATGGATGGATGGATGGATAATGGATGGATGGATGGATGGATAATGGATGGATGGATGGATGGATAATGGATGGATGGATGGGTGGATGGGTGGATAATGGATAGATGGATAGACAGATGGATGGATAATGGATGGATGGATGGGTGGATGGATGGATGGATAATGGATGGATGGATAATGGATGGATGGATAATGGATGGATGGATGGATGGATAATGGATGGATGGATGGGTGGATGGGTGGATAATGGATAGATGGATAGACAGATGGATGGATAATGGATGGATGGATGGATGGATGGATGGGTGGATAATGGATAGATGGATAGACAGATGGATGGATAGATGATGGATGGATAGTGAATGGATGATGGATGGATGGATGAAGGGATGATGGATGGATGGATGGATGGATGGATAATGGATGGATGGATGGGTGGATGGATGGATGGATGGATGGATAATAGATGGATGGATGGGTGGATAATGGATAGATGGATAGACAGATGGATGGATAGATGATGGATGGATAGTGAATGGATGATGGATGGATGGATGAAGGGATGATGGATGGATAATGCACTGTAGCAAGGAGATGGGAGAGCAGTGAGAAGCCTGTCGCAGTATCTTGGTGACACACGATAAGGTTTCAGCTGGAGCAGTATTGTGAGAAGGAGAGGAAGGGAAGTATTAGCCCAATGTTGAATGTCTCGAGTCTCCTTTGGTCGCATAGGAGGAAAACACAGTTTAAACTGGCCTAAAATGAGTTATAGCTGAAAAGTCTGGAGGTTGGGCCACGATCTCCTGTCTCTGCTCCCCTGCGTAGGAGTCATTCCCAGCTCCCAGAGGAAGTCTCCCGGGTAGTCTCACCGGCCCCAGGGAGGTGGACACTGCACCGCCGCCTGGCCCTGGGGATGCAGGCTGCTCACGGGCTCAGCCCTGGGGGAGGAGGCAGTGGGTTGTGAAACAGCGGCAGCTGTCGCGAGGGACAGAGACAGGGCTGCGAGGACTCTGGGGTCCCCTCTGGACTTTAAAAAGAGAATGTTGCCTTGGAGAGCAAGCGTGGACAAGGAAGAGGAAGAGCCCGGGTTTCTGACCGGGAGGGCTGCGTTCCATCGGCGAGAAGGGACGGGAGAAGACGAGCCTGGATCCAGTTCCGGCGCTGGGCGCGCTGGGGAGTGGAGCGGGGGACTGCAGGCTTCCATGGACCTGGCCACAGCCATCTTCTAGGAGGCCAGGGCTCAGAGTGGCCTCTCAGTGACAAGCCCACCCGCTCTACCTGGCAAACCCTGGGAGGTCCTCGGTTCCACCAGGCCCAGCTGAAATGGGGGACCCTGCTCTGATCAGAAGCTTCCTTTGAACCCCCATCCCTGGACAGAACAGCTTCCGCCCACCGCCCTGCCACCCCTTTCCGTACCTGGGTCACTGAGCACTGACCGTCAGCAGCTGCACTCTTGCCTGCCCCGTTAGACATGGCGGGGGACATGCCAGATGCCTTCCTCTGTCCCCAGTGTCCAGCCTAGTTCCTAGTGGGTCCTTATGCATACTGCTTGCCTGGGAGGACAGGTAGATGAATGGACAGACAGGCGTGCAGAAGCTGAGCCGGGGGCAGAGAACGAGAGATCGCCATTCTCATTCTGTCGAAGGCGGTGACGTAACTTCCATGGGTTCTGGGGTGTCTGTGCCCAGCCAGGCCTAGGCCCGCCCCTCGCGACAGCTCGGCCAAGGGCTCCCGCCCACACGCCGACAACGGCCTGCTTTGGAGGAAGCAGAGCTGGTGTCCTAAGTGCGTCAGCCTGGTTCCCAGCACTCGGGTCACCTAACAGTTGGGGCCAGACCCGTTTGTGCCACAAAAATGCGTGGAGGAAGGAGGGGGATGGGTGGGAGAGGCTTGGAGATGAGCGGGTAACAGAGGGGCAGCCCCGTGTTCAGCCTTGACCTTGAATCCTCTGATCAGGGCTTCCCTGGACCCCGAGGGGAGAAAGGTGACCGGAGCGAGCGTGGAGAGAAGGTGCAGCGGGGACAGGAGCTGGGGGCAGGCGCGCAGAAGGGGAGCCCAAGCAGGCGGAGAGAGGCCGGGTGGGGGGGAGGCGGGAGGCGGTGGGCGGGGTCACGCGGAGGCATCAGCTGGGGCTTGACTGCGTGTTGCGGTCCGGGGTCCGAGGTCCGAGGGTTCTGAGCCGGGAAGCCGAGGCCATCCCACCATCTTGCCTCTGTGCAGGGAGATCGAGGGGTTCCCGGCCGGAAAGGAGTGAAGGGCCAGAAGGGTGAACCGGGACCGCCGGGCCTGGACCAGCCGTGTCCTGTGGTACGTGTCGCAGCAGGATGGCAGCCCCTGTCCTCAGAACTCAGTTGCAAGTCCCATGCCAGCCCGCCCACTACCAGGGCCACTGCTGCTGCTGCTGCCGCCATCATCCCGGCTCCTCCAGCTCTGGCCTTGACCCCCACTACAGGCATGGCTGGGAGACCCAGCCCCTCTGTCGCTGCCCCCATTACTCGGCCCCAAGGCAGCGCTGGCTTAAGTGGGGACCCTTTTCGAGCCACCTTGTGCGGGCCCGGAGAGGGGCTTGACCAGGTTCGGAGCTGCCTTTCCCCGGAGTTGTCACTAATGTCAGGGGCCGCCCAGGAAAGCCCCAGGCCCTGAGGAAGGAACCCTGTTGCCACGGGGATGCTGCACGGCCCCAGCCATCACCCTTGCCTCCCAGGTCCACGCTCTGACTCGGACTCCCTCTGGGCTTGAGGCCAGGCTGGGCTGGAACTGAGCTTCCCCACCGCGGAGGGGTGGGACCCGCTGACCTCTCTGGGTGTCCCTCCTCTTCCTTCCTGCTCCCCAGAAGAGCCTTTCTCTGGGCGGGGGCAGCCCTGGCTGCTCCCCGGGCGCGCTGGCGAGCCCACCCTTTGCCTCGAAGGCAGGGAGGGTCTCCGTGTCCTGCTCGTCCAGCGGGGCTCAGGAAGGAGGAAAAACAAAGCAGCTGGGTTCCCACAGTGAAACCGGCCAGACGCCCAGATGCCCGTGCCCCGCTGGGGCCTGGGAGAGGGGCGTCCCACTGTGTCCTGCGCAAGCCGCCCCCACCCTCTGGAGGGCGTCAGGGCGGCCGGCCCACCTGCCCCTCTGGCTGCGAATGGGTCTCGCCAGCGCACCCCACCCTTCCTCAGTGTCTGCATCTGTGCGCGGTGGGCGGGGCGCCCTCCCTCCAGAGGTTTTGGGGAATGAGAAAAAGAGCGGAGAGCGGCATGGGGGGCACACAGCCCTCCCCGAGAGTCAGTGAGCCTTGTCTCCTTTGAAACAGGAGAATCCCGCGTGCCGAGGCCAGCAAGGTGCACCGGGCTGGCACAGCCGGGCAAGGGGCCTGAGGCCCTGCCCTGCGGTAGGCGGTCGGGCTGCTGTGTGCTGTGTGCTGTGTGGCCTTCTGGGTGACCTGGGCCTCCACTCTGCCCCTGCCCTCCCTCCCTGCAGCCTTCCTCCCCGTTCAGTCCCCCTCCCCACCTTCCTCTTGGTCCCCAGACTGTGCCCCGCACACACATGGGAATGTTCCAGGGGGTCTGCCCCAGCGTCTGTGGCCCGTGCCTGTGCTTTGGAACAGCATGAAGTGTTTTCTGTCCCAGGCTCCCCCAGGGCCATCATGTCCCTCACCCCTGCCGCCCGGGTGGACACAAGAGGCGTCCTAGCCCTGCCTCAGTGGGCTGCAGCAGCCGCACACAGCAGCTACCTGGGCTGCATCTTTCTACAGATCAGGGCAGGGGTGTGCGGCATGCAGGTAGCTGGCCAGACCCAGTCCGGTCACCGAAACCTTTTTCTTTCCAGGGCCCCGATGGGCTGCCCGTGCCTGGCTGCTGGCACAAGGTACCTGGCAGGGAAGAGTCTCTGGGGCAGGCTCAGGAGAGTGGAGGGAGGATGGGGGGTGGGAGGGCTCACTCAGAGTGCTGGGCGTCTGCACAATGTTCCCATCATGTCCCTGGTTGTGCCTCTTCCACCGTGTGGTCTTGGGTGACTGTGCGTGACCCACCTGTTGTTCCCACAGGGCTGGGTTGACACCTGGCCCAGCCAGTGCAAAACCGTCAGTGCCCCCTGCCCCCTGAGAGGGAGTGGAGGTGGAGAGAGGAGAGGGAGGAAAGGAGGGGCCGGACGTGTTCCTGAGGACATGGGTGGGACAGGGGAGCTGGAGCAGGGTGGCCTGGATGGGAGTGGGGCCGGAGGGGTCTCTTGGGCCCCTCGTCACCTTCTGTCTCTCCTCCTTTTCCAGTGACCCCCAGACCCAGCTCACACCTGTACAGATCTGTGTGGACGTTTTTAATTTTTGTAAAAACAAAGCAGTAATATATTGATCTTTTTTCATGGGATGTGCCACCTGTGGCCTTTTCGCATTTGCGAGTGTGCCCACCCGCCCAGCACCATCAGCACGTGAAGCTACAGGAATGCGGACAGGCCGACCTGGGGCCAGCTCGCCCCGAGGGCCCCCGGGGGCTTGGCTTTCCCAGGAAGGAGACGAAGGTGGACGCTCCTGCTCGGGACAGGCTGCAGAGGTCCCGGCTGGGCCTGCGGTCGCCTGAGCAGTGCAGAGACTCGCAGCTGTGGGGCTGCCCTGCAAGAGCCGCCCCTCGGAGCTCTGGAGCCCCCCGGGACACACCCCCGCCAAGAGTGCCCAGGGCTTGGCAATAGCTACAGCCGGACCCAGCCACAGCCGGCTGCCCACACGCTCGGACCCCCAGACGAGACTCCCGCCAAGCACCTGCAGCTGGCCCTGGGGTGCAGTCGGCAGAAAGCACCGAGGGTCTAGCTCCCACCCAGTTCGGGAGGCCTCAGGACACCAGCTGCCACGAGAATACATGTCCTGTGGCCAAGAGTAGTGGCCAAGCTCTGTGACTGCTGTCGTGGATGGAGGGTCCCAGGCTGGACTGGCTGCCACTTCCTGTCCCCGTGTCTGCATCAGAGCACAGACGGGACGGGGCTTCTCCTGGCCTGAGCAGCCAGGCCTCCAGTGCAGAGTCTGGGCCCACGTCTCCCACCCGTGGCTCCGGCCAGCCCGCCGGAAATGGTTCTCCTGGTGAGTTGTGCAGACAAGGCGAACCTCAGGGCCGGTTCCCTGCTGGCCTGAGCAAGGCGGCTGCGGCCAGAGCTGCCCACGCTCTGACAAGAGGCTGTCCCACCTGTCGCAGGCATTCCCAGCAGCCATCTCTGTCCCAGCCACGCACCTCCCATGTCTGTGTAGACGGCTGTCGCTGCGCGTAATAAACCACAAGTGTGTGTCTGGACGTGCCTGTCCTTGTGGACTGCCCCGGGTGCCCACCTCCGGCTGGGGTTTCATCCTGGCCATTGCTGCGTGGGGGCTGGGGGGAAGGGGACTCTCTCCCTGGGTCAGAGCCATCCCGGAAACCAGAGGAAGCAGTTCAGGATCGAGGCAAAGACAGCATTTGGAGTTAGGAAGATGCAGGCTCAAGACCTGGCCCCTCCACAAGCAGCACTTCTTGTCACCGAGCCCCCGTGCGTTCCTCCGTGTTGGTTACCAGACTGCTGCGTAACAAATCACCCCAAAACTTGTCGCCAAGAAACAATGATCATAGCTGTTTCTTACAGTTCTGGGGGTCAAGTTCTCCCACATCTGATGGTTGACACTGAAGTAGCTGGGGCCTCAGATGACCAGACCACCTACCGGTGGCTTCTTCACAGTGGCTGGATTCCAAGCCACCTGGGAATGTCCCAGGTGGACCAGGTGCAAGCTGGCCAAGCCTCAGGGGTCCTACGGCGTCACTTTCTACCAGATTAGAGGGGAGGGAGATAGACCCCACCTCTCGATGGGGAAGTATCGACAGGGTACTTTAAGGAGAGAATGTGGAGTACATCTCGCTGTGGCCATCTCAGCAAATGCAGCCCGCACTCACCGTGAGCTGGGGTGGCGATTTTTACCCTCAGCCTGCGGCTCAGCGAGGCTCCGCTGCACGAAACACATGAGAACCTAGGACGGGTCAGGCACCCACGAGCGCCCGTGATTCTGGTTTTTCTCTCTCCTCCCAACGCCAAGACCAAGCGAGGGCCACAGTCTAGCAAAGCAGTTCCGCATTTCCCATCACAGCTGGCTCTTACAACCCTAACAGAGGGACCCATTTCACAGATGGTAAAACCAAGCACATCCAGGGTGGTGTAGACAAGAAAGGGTTTGCAACGACGGTGTCTCTGACAGTAACTGTGCATCCCCCTAGAAGTGTCTAAGGACAGGCCTGAGAAGGGCCAACGTGTGGGCAGTCCCCACAGACCTCTGCCACACGGCCCCCTTGCTAAGTAGAAGAGGCTCTGCCACACACTGGCTAAGGAGGGAGGAATATGTGAAGACCCTCCTCTGCCTCCCTAAGGAGCTGGCAGTGAGTGGCAGGCCAGCCATCTGGGTCACCAGGGAAGCCAGTAGTGGGGAAAGGAAGAGGGACACAGTGGGACTGTGAGGACTGATGGAGCTCACTGCGTGTCAACACCTGTAGGGTGCCAGCATAGCTTCACAAATCTATGCACTCTACAGTTTGCATGCAGTTCCCTCCTCCCTCCACCCAGGAACCTCACTTGACCCCCTCGCCAACCCTGTCAAGAATGGGGCCTATGTGATAGGTGTCAATATTTCCATTTTACATATGGGAAAACTGAGGCTCAGAGGTGGTAGTCACCTGCCCAGGGATGCACAGCCAGGATGTAGTGGCAGGCTTGGGACTGGACCCAAGCTCTCGGATATCCTCTGATCTCTTTCCAAAATTGTTTGGCAGGGCATTGAATCTGATAGACAGCCCCATGACACTGGGTGACTGGCAGGGAGATCCTTGGGGGCAGGGGGTTAGAAGCCACATGTTCCCCCGTTTCCCCAGTCATCTGAGAGGGTCTCTGTCCTGCTCCTTTGGTCAAGATGGGGCCTTCTTGGTCCATTGCTGCCCCCCTGTGGCATCATACCTTATATCCTCAGGCCTGCAAACTTTTCAACTGCAAACTTCAACATTTAGAGCCTGCTGAGTCCTCAAAGAGACTGGGGTGAGGACAGAGAGACAAAGAGGAGTTGGTGACTTGCTCAGGGTCCCCGCTGACACACTGGGGAGTGCCCTGCCTCACAGCTGAGCCCGAAGGAGTAGAGAGTCTCAGGTCTGCAGCCAGGAAGGGCAGCTCAGCCTCAAACTACCCCCTTCCAGAAGACAGAAACTGAGCCCCGCTGTGTGCCATGACAGCTAGAATAGTCTCGAGGACAACTATCCCCTGGTACAGATAAATCTGTGGCCGGACAAAACTGGGCTTACCCATGTCTCCTTCTTGGTCCCTCCTAGGAGATCGCTAAAAATGCACAGGATGCTTTTGGTTGTCACAATGATTGGGGGACACTCCTGGCAGTGGAGGGAGGGATATCAAACACCCGCAATGCATAGGACAGTCCTACCCAATGATGACTCAGCTCAAAAAGAAGGCCAGCGCCACCCCCGATGAGAAACACTATGCCCTGGGTTCAAATCTTGGCTCAGCCCTTCCAGCCATCCCCCACTCCCTCGGCCTCCACTGCTGCCTTGAGACCATGGACGGAGGAGTGCTCAGCAGGGCACCCAGGCAGGAGTGGGGGGCCTTTCCGAGCAGGAGGAAGGTGAAGCCTCCTGGTGTTACACCGCTCCTGCTACAGACACTCTTGGCCCGGGAAATGGCCCGGCCTGGTCTGACTTGCAACTATATTGCCTCTCAACCATGGACGTCTAGGAGCAGGTGCGATGTTAGCTGGGCCCAGCTGCAGCCTTCTCACCCGCTACCCCGAGGCAGGAAAACCGCCTAAGCCAACGTGAATTCTCTGAGCTGCCCTGGGCCACAGCTGTGGCTGGAGTTTGAGTTGCAAGATGGGCCCCAAACAGGACTCTCAGATTCCCTCTGCACACGGCCACACCACACATTATATTACAAGCTGGAACCACAGAGCATAGAAGCACCATGGTCTCTCCACCAAAGCAGAGAAGACAACACACCAAGAAAGCAAGGACCGCTGTCCCACCCACACGCACAGCCTTGACCCTCAGAAAAGAAGTACAGGCCACAAGGAATTAACCTCTCTGTTAATTTGGGAGGAATGTTTTCGATAGTCATCTAAAAGGTTCAGTTCAGCTTTACAATTGAAATTCCATTCGTGCCAGGCGCGGTGGCTCATGCCTGTAATCCTAGCTCTCTGGGAGGCCGAGGCAGGCAGATTGCTCAAGGTCAGGAGTTCCAAACCAGCCTGAGCAAGAGCGAAACCCCGTCTCTACTATAATAGAAAGAAATTAATTGGCCGACTAATATATACAGAAAAAAATTAGCCGGGCATGGTGGCGCATGCCTGTAGTCCAGCTACTTGGGAGGCTGAGGCAGGAGGATTGCTTGAGCCCAGGAGTTTGAGGCTGCTGTGAGCTAGGCTGACGCCATGTCACTCACTCTAGCCTGGGCAACAAAGCGAGACTCTGTCTCAAAAAAAGAAAAAGAAAAAGAAATTCCATTCGGTTCGGAATGATGAAAAAGTTCTCTTGCATGGATGGGGGTGATGGTTGCACAACAGTGTGAATGTCTTTTTGCCACTGAATTGTGTCCTTAAAAATGGCTAAAATGGTAAACTCTGCTATATATATATCTTACCATAATAAAAAATAAGAAACTCCATATGTTCTTTAATAAATGCATTAAGCATTTTCCAGTCTTGTTGGGAAGAAGAAATCAGAATGAGGGAGTGTCGCAGAGGACTGAGAATCACAGGAGAGACAGAAGAGCAAGGGCAGGCAGGAGCCGCCCCTCCCCAGGCCTGCCTGTGCGCTGCAGCCCCAGGCGCTGTAGCGTTTGTCAGGGCGGAAGTACCAGTGTCCCACCCCAGGAAAACGGTGTCTCTCAGCTGCCGGCCCCTTGCAGGCCTTTTCTTCCCACTCCCCGGGCTGGAGGTCAGGCAGACACCAACCAGTTGGGGTCCAGCCTCTGCAGCAGGCTCGCTGTGTCTGACGATGAAGCCCTGGACACACGTGCACAGGGCTCAGGAGGCTTTCCAACTCTCTTCCTGCCTCGACTGTATGCACTGACACACCTCGTGTTGACTCCGCCCGGATGCCAGCAGTCACCCCGGTGCCCTGCACACCGAGCCCACGGTGGCCTCCTGGCCAGCCCCGCAGCGGCCCGTGCTGCTCCCCCTCCCCGGGCCGGGAAGGCCCTGGGTCCTGCCCGAGCACAGCCGCCGCGTCCCTACGGACGCCCCTGCAGTGTTCCCGGGCCTGGGCTGGGTGCCAGTCGCGCACTCCCGTGTGCCCCTCCAGGCGCAGCCCATTCTGCGCGCGGGCAAGGGGCTCCAGACGCAGCCCGACTCGGGCGGGGCCCGCGGGAGCGCAGAACCACGCCTGGGGCCGGACGCAGCGGCGAGGTCGCCCGGGGACACCGCCCTGGAAGGAAAGCCAGAGAGGCCTGGAGGAGCGAGGCCCAAGGCCGGGCAAGGCGAGCACACACCCCGCTGCCGCGCGCGACTGCCGGGTCAGGGCTCCGGAGCGCGGAGGCTGCAGGCCGCCGCCTAGCGGAAACAGAGCGGAAGGCGAGCGCGCGGGGCGGCCGCGCCGCGGTGTGGGCGGCTGGAGGCGGGGCAGCGGCACAGTGTGGGCGGTAGGGCTCATGTGCGGGCCGGCGGCGGGCGGGGCAGAGCTGTGGGGCGCGCTGGTGCCTGGGCGGGCGGGGCAGCGCCATGTGGGGCGGGGGGCGCGGCCTGTGGGGACAGCAGCCTGTGGGCGGGGCAGCGGCGGGCGGCGGCGTCATGGCCGCGGCGCGGCGCGCGAAGGCCGACACGCTGGCGCTGCGGCGGCGGCTCCTCAGGTACCGGGCGGGCAGGCATGCGGCGCCACGGCGCACGCGCGGCCGGCGCGCAGCCCGGGGCGCCCACCCGGACCGCTAGCGACTCGGGCCCCCGAAGCTGGCGGCGCGGGCGGGCTCCGCGGCCTCCCCGCAGCGCCGTCTCCGGCCGCCCCTCGGCTCGGAGCCCGCCCGCGCCGCGCTGGCCCCGCTCTGGCGTCCCGCTCGGCGGCCTTTGCCTTGCGCTCCTGCGAGGAGCGCGGCGGCCGGGCCTCAGGGCCGGGGCCCGGCGTGAGAGGACCCGGGAAGGGGCCGAAGGGTCAGGCGAGGCTGGGGCTGGCAGCCGTTTCCCGGCAGCCTTCGAGAAGTCTGCGCCCAGTCACTGGAGAGGTGCCCCGTCCCAGCCGCCCCGCCGGGGAAACGCCCTGACGGAGCCCTCGTGCGCCCGGGGCAGCCACCTCGACCCAGGCCCCAAGGCACTGAGGTGGGCGCGTGCAGAAGTGAGCACGGCCACAGAGGCGCAGCGTGACTTCAACAGTTTTGTTTTTGTTTTTTTTGAGTCAGTCTCACTCTGTCACCCGGGCTAGAGTGCCGTGGCGTCAGCCTGGCTCACAGCAACCTCCAACTCCTGGGCTCAAGCGATCCTCCTGCCTCAGCCTCCCGAGTAGCTGGGACTACAGGCATGCGCCACCATGCCCGGCTAATTTTTTCTATGTATATTAGTTGGCCAATGAATTTCTTTCTATTTATAGTAGAGACAGGGTCTCGCTCTTGCTCAGGCTGGTTTCGAACTCCTGACCTGGAGCAATCCGCCCGCCTCGGCCTCCCAGAGTGCTGGGATCACAGGTGTGAGCCACCTCGCCCGGCCTTGAGAAGCAATTTTAAAGCTTCAGCAACTTCTTAGCCCAACCGTTTCCTCCTCTGCAGCCACATACGGAGTAGGGAGACGAGACAGGGAAGCAGCACATTGCCCTTCACGCTTTTGTCCTTTCCGCAGACTGGGAAGGGGTAGGGGAGGCCTGTGATGGACTCATCCCTTCAGGTTTTCACACGTGGCTGTCCACCCCTTGCCTGTCCCCACAGCTCTTCCTGCAGACTCTTTTTCCCTGAGGATCCCGTTAAGATTGTCCGGGCCCACGGGCAGTACATGTACGACGAGCAGGGGGCAGAGTACCTGGACTGCATCAACAACGTGGCTCATGGTCAGTATCACACCTCAAGCCGGCAGGGTAGGAGAGGGGGCCGAGGCTGTGAGCCTGGTCCCAGGGTGACCCTGAGGTTGCAGAGAAGTGTGGAGAAGCAGCTCCGTGCAGCTGAGGCAGTACCCGTGTGCAGAGGAAGCCCAGTCTTTGTGATGTAGCCATAGAAGTCTCCAAATCGGAGCTGTGCAAAGCCAGGCAGAAGTCCAAGGTCTAGGTCTGTGGGGCCGGTTCCACCTGGGACTGATTGACGAGCTCGGAGGGTGGCTAACAGCCCAGCTATGACCAGGAACGCAGCATGTCGTCACTGTCATGGCAGGGTTTCCGCCCTACCCACCGTCTCCGGTGCTGGGCAAGGAAACTGGAGTCGGAACTACTTAGTCCTCCGGATGGGGCCGCCAGAGCTGAGGAAAGGCAGGCCGCAACTCAGCAGAGGGTCAAAGCAGGGCCTCTAGTCTCAGACTGCTTGGTCTCAGGTCCCTGTCCCCCACTTAATGACTCTGTGGTCTTGGGCAAGTTAATTAATTCTCTGTGCCTCAGTTTGTTTATCTGTAAAATAGACATAATACCCACCTCAAGGTGTTTTGGAGAATTAAGTGTGTTAATTCATGTAACTTGCTTTGAATGTGCCTGGCACATGGTGAGCCCTCAATTCATGTTCAGTGTTGTCGTTAGCCTTGGCCCCTGGCACACAAGATAACCTCCAGCCCCCACTGGCTAGGGAAGTCAAACCTGTTGATGACAGTCACCTCCCACCCCATCCCTTTATCAAGCAGAAGGCCTCACGAGGCCTCCATAATGTCATGGGCTAGATAGGGTATCCGCCAGAGAACCTTTTCCTTCTGCCAGAATCTCGGGGACTCCTTTTCTAGGTCTCCCTTTCCAGAACTGGCAGCTCTCTCCCCGCTCTGTCTTCACACTCCCCGTGTCTCCTGGCGGGGTTTGCAGCTTGGGGCTGGGGGAGGCCTGGTGGGCCTGGCTGGGCAGAGTGGCCGTGTGACGAAGGTGGCCCTCTTGCAGTTGGGCACTGCCACCCTCGAGTGGTCCAGGCAGCACATGAACAGAACCAGGTGCTCAACACCAACAGCCGATACCTGCACGACAACATCGTGGATTACGCACAGAGGCTGTCAGAGACCCTGCCGGAGAAGCTCTGTGTGTTTTATTTCCTGAATTCTGGGTAAGTGGACTGCCGCCAGCCCCCAGCAAGGGGGCGAGACGACGAAGAGAGTTGCACACGCGGGCCCCGTGTCGTGTAGCCCACCGCGCGTGGACTTGAGGAAGAGGCGGCCCTCCCTTCACCAGGCTCCCGCACGTCCCAGCCGCAGACCCCACGTGCCTTGTCTGTGGCATCCGGTTTCCGTGTCTCTTAGTAAAGGATGCCATTCCCCCCGCCTCCAGGACCATTTTGGGGGCATAATGAGATAATACAGTCCTTTATTTCTGCCTCATGGACACAGTCAGAATCCCTGCCCTCAGCTTGCTCAGTGAGGAGCAAAAACATCAAGTGATTCTGCAAAGAAATACAGAATTACAAAGAGGGCCGTTGTCCGGAGGAAGAGCACAGGGTAGAGGGAGGCCTGGAGGTACTGGGGGGCCTGACCTGTTCTGGGCGCGTCAGGGACGCCTTCCCTGAGGAGCTGATAGCGAGCTAAGAGCTGACTAGGTGATAACCAGGAGAGGAAGAAGGAACGGTACTGCCCCCTCCAGCGTGTGTCCTCCTGTCATGGTTGGTCACCCCACCGAACAGCCTGTGCAAAGGCCCTGCAGCAGGAAGGGGCGTGCTGCCCTGCCTCTCTTGAACTGAAGGAAGGCCAGTGAGGGAGAGGGGAGGGTGTGAGCTGACACTGGGGAGGGAGGCAGGACCCACCGCTCAGGGCCCTGTCCCCCAGCCAGGGAGCTGTCTTCATCCTGAGAGCACTGGGACGCCATTGGAGGACTTTGGTCAGGGAAGCGATCTGGGCGGGGGGAGAGCAAGAGTGGACACTGTTGGGGGCCAGTTCAGCAGCCAGGTAAAAGGTGATGGTAGCTGCTTCCTCGGGGAATAGCAGTGGAAACAAACGGGCAGATGATCACAGCATATCTGGGAGGGAACATTCCAACAAATTATAGGCAGTGGCGTCTAGAGTATAGTAAAGATTATTATTATCGTTGCCATTCACATACGACGTTCGTCAGTCCCCCACATAATTTCTAGGAGGTGGAATTCACCATTTTCATTTCACAGATAAGGAAGCAGCAGTTCAAAGGAAGGAACTAGCTTGCCCAGGGCCACCCACCAGGAGCCGGTGGAGCCGGAACTGTAACTTCTCTGGGAAGAGCAGGCAGCTAGGTACGGGAGCCATCCCTGCTGAGGAAGGGACACTCTTGGTGGCTGACTCCACCAAACGTATCCTGCGTGGATTCCAGTGGCTTCCTTGTCGCCAAACCCAGGAATCTCTTTGCTGTCCTGTCGTACTGTGTCTCTCAGCTGTCATGGACAGGGTCAGCCCTGTCTGGAAGTGCCGTGCTCCCAGGGCACTGAGCGCTCCTGGATGTCTGCCAGCTTCCCTGGCCACTGCTGCCCAGTCTCCTCCTCTGTCGCCCCCTGCTCCTCTGTTCCTCGGGGCTGCTCCTGGGCCATTTTCTCTCTGAGCCCTCTCCTTACAAGATCCCTTCCACTCCCTGGGTGGTGTTCACATACTGGTGACTCCCAAGCCCAGACACTTACCGTGTGTTCCAGACTCAAGTTCTAACTGCCCTTGTGACATCTGACGAACATCTCCAACTTCACATGTCCCAAAGACAAGCAAGAGCTGGTGGTCTTCCACTAACGCCCGGTGTGGGACCGTGGCACTGCTCTCCCCGACTCTCCCAGGCACCCACCCCAGAAGACCGTCCACGCCCACCCCCAGCCTATAGTGCCCGGTGAAGGGCACTGCCGTCTACCTCTCTGCTCAAGGCAGAAGCCACATACACCCACAGCCCGTATCCGTCCTGCCTCCTGCTTCTCCAGGATGTCTCTTAAGCCCACCCACCTCCCTCCATCTCCCTGTCGCCACCTGCCCGCCCCTGGGCATCCCCCTCGGGTCTGCTCCCTTCTCCCTTGACACAGCCCACGGCTGCCTCCTGAAATGGGAGCTGAGCTGCGTCCCTTCTCTGATTAACAGTCTCCAGTGGCATCACATGACACAGAAGAAAAGCCAGGTTCCTTCCTAGCCTAAGAATGTGACCCCTGCATGTCCCCACTTCCTACCCTGCCCTCCTTGGGCCCTGGCCTCACGTGTCTTCTCTTGGGTTCCTGAGCACACCGAGCCCTTTTCCTTCACGGGCCTTAGTGCGGACTGCTTCCTCTGCCTGGAAACCGCTCCCTCAGGACTCGGGGCCAGTGTCACCTCCTCACAGAGGCCTTCCCTGCCCCCTCTGTGTTGGTCTGCTAGGGCCACTGTAGCAAAATACCACTGCCTGGGTGACTTCAGCAACAGAAGTTCATTTTCTCGGTTCTGGCAGGCAGTTGGGTTTCGTTTGAGGCCTCTCTCCTTGGCTTACAGAAGGCCGCCTTCTTGCTGTGTCTTCACATGGTCTTTTCTCCTGTGTACACACGCCCCCACTGTCCCTCCGTGTCCAGAGTTCCTCCTCCTATTAGAACACCAGTCCCCTTGAATTAAGGCCCACCTTAATCACCTCATTTTAACTGAATCACCTCTTTAAAGGCCTTATGTCCAAATTCAGTCACATACACAGGCCATTCTGCGGTACTGGGGGTTAGGGCTTCAACAAAAGTTTTGGGGGAAACACAATTCAGCCCTGACAGCCCCTGTCTCAAGTAGGCCCCCTTCTGGTTCTCCCTTGGCCCGTGTGTCCATTGTAGCACTTACCAAAATGATCGCTCTTTGTTTTTTGGTTTTCATGACACGTAGTAGAATGTAACTTTCAGGAGGGCCAGGGCCTGTTTTACCTACTGTTTTGCCCCCAGCTCCTAGCACGTACGAGGCATTTGATAGTTACCAAATGATTCTCTGAATGATGTCTGAGAATCTTCTTGCAGCTGGAAGGGCTCCTGCCCTCAAGGCGTCTGTGCGGGAAGCTCCTGGACACCTGTCTGAGCTGTGCCCACCTTCTCGGTCATAGGTCAGAGGCCAACGACCTAGCCCTGAGGCTGGCCCGCCAGTACACAGGACACCAAGACGTGGTGGTGTTAGACCAGTAAGTACAAGTCACAGCCCTGCCACTTCCAAAAGCCTAGGCCACAGGCTTATTGGGGATCAGTGAGGCTTTGGCTTTGGGTGCCTTAGGCAGGGAGGATGAAGGGCCTGGGCCGTTGAAGGGGAGTGTGGCAGGCAGAGGACCCCAGAGACACCTCCTGGGAGGGTCTGTCCCTGGGCCACTAGGAGGGGAGGGCAGCCTCTGGAGAGCAGAGAATATTTTATAAGGGAGTCAAAGTTGGTCCCACAACCTATTTTTTTTTTAAGTTTTAAATTTTATTATAATTTTTTTTTTTTTTTGAGACACAGTCTAGCTCTGTTGCCCGGGCTAGAGTGCCGTGGCGTCAGCCTAGCTCACAGCAACCTCCAACTCCTGGACTCAAGCAATCCTTCTGCCTCAGCCTCCCGAGTATCTGGGACTACAGGCATGCGTCACCACGCCCGGCTAATTTTTTCCATATATTTTTATTTTTATTTTTTTTTTTTAAGTAGAGACGGGGTCTCGCTCTTGCTCAGGCTGGTTTTGAACTCCTGACCTTGAGCAATCCGCCCGCCTCGGCCTCCCAAGAGCTAGGATTACAGGCGTGAGCCACAGCGCCCGGCCTCCATATATTTTTAGTTGTCCGACTAATTTCTTTCTATTTATAGTAGAGATGGGGTCTCGCTCTTGCTCAGGCTGGTCTGGAACTCCTGACCTCAAGCGATCCTCCTGCCTCGGCCTCCCAGAGTGCTATGATTACAGGCGTGACCACCACGCCTGGCCAATATTTTCTTAATTTGAGTCATTCTTTACAACTTCTCTTTTTTTTTCTATGTGGAAGTGGATCCCACAACCTTTTATTAGATGTTCAACTTGTTCCAACAGTAGCTTCCACGTGTTGAGTACCTGTGAGCGTAGGACCCAGGCCCGGGTTTAGAGCATCATCACATTTAAGGTGCATTAGAGCCTTGAAGGAGAAATCTCCCCATTTTATAGAAGAGAAAACTGAACCCAGAGAGGTTAAATCAGCGGTCCCTGACCTTTTTGGCACCAAGGACTGGCTTCATGGAAGATGATTTTTCCACAAACCGGGGTGTGGGTGGGCGGCAAGGCAGCAGCAGCAGAGCTCTGCGGCCCCGGGCTCGGGAGCACAGGGTTAGAGGACTAGCCTCCGCCATGCAGCCAGCAGGTGGCCTTGCAGGAGTACTGCTGACCCCAAGGCCACTTCCCAGCCCACGGACTCGGGGGCTGTGTCAGATCAGAAGAGTTGGCCTCCCCCGTGTCTGCGGAGGTGGGTGGACAGTGGTCAGGGCCAGGCCGGGGCGTGTGTCTCGCCTGGCCTGAGCCCACCTTCTGTGCTCCCCAGTGCCTACCACGGTCACCTGAGCTCCCTGATTGACATCAGTCCCTACAAGTTCCGCAGCCTGGATGGCCAGAAGGAGTGGGTCCATGTGGTATGCACTGCCCAACTCGCAACAGGTCGGTGCCCGCCCCCAAGCCCAGATGACACGGTGCTGTCACTCCCCACAGGCACCTCTCCCAGACACCTACCGAGGTCCCTACCGGGAGGACCACCCCAATCCAGCTGTGGCCTATGCCAATGAGGTGAAACGCGTGGTCAGCAGCGCACAGGAGAAGGGCAGGAAGGTAACCATGTCCACACCTGCGCAGCCTGCGAAAGAGTGAATGTCGTTTCTATTGTTGCTTGCAGCGTGCCAGATCCTGGGAACCTAAAGAGAAAGCAGACCGAGGCCTTCTAGCAGGGGTGGCAGTGGAGGGGAGTGAGGGGCTCAGCAGGGGGTTGTTCACCGGCGGGAGCCTGGGCAGAGACACATCTGGGTGTCTCGTAGGCGGCCAGGGCCCAGGTGTGCAGTGCGGGTGTGGAGGAGGTGCCACCTGCCTGTGGCAGTGAAGACTAGGGCTAGCCATTCCCGGGCGGAGGGGAGTGGCAGAGGAGAGGCATCCTGGGCAGACAGCTGGCACAGTGGAGGGAGCATGTGAGGGCACGGTCCGGCTTTGGGAGACGAGCCTGGCACAGGCAAGACCCGGAGGCCAGAGGACCCAGCTGTGCGCTGAGCACCCGGGCTGCTCCCTGCCTGCAGGCTGCACGATGGGGAGGCCTGACGGGGTGGCGTGGTAAGGGGCAGAGGCAGGAGAGGCACGTCACCCATGGTGGCAGTAAAGGTAGGCTGTTAGCAACTGGCAGAGGGCCCTCTGGAAGGCTTCACCTATGGGGTGGTGGAGCCGAACGCAGGGTGTGTGATGAACAGGGTGGGCTGCCGGGCTAGAAAGGCCACAGGCCCAGCGGGGGAGCCCAGCCTGTGTGTTTCAGAGGCTGTGCAGCCACTATCATAAAACCTAAAAAAACAATTTCTCTGGTCACAACAGAGGTAGAGGACTGGTTTCCCATCCCATCAGCCCTTCCCTTGCCCCAGCAGTGGCCTCTGAAGCAGCCCTAAGGCAGAGCACCATTGGGAAGCCATTGCTGTAAGCAAAGGGGGTCACTGGAGGGTTTTAAACAGGACAGAGGTGTCACCCCTGTTGCCCCAAGGCAGACAGGCTGGAAGAGGTGTCCGGTGAGGAGGCAAGACAGGCAGGTCTGCCGGGAGGCAGGTGTGTGCAGGCAGAGCTGACCAGCAAGGTGCGAGGGAGGGGCGTGGTGCGGGTCACCAGTGAGGGCCAGAGAAGGAACAGGCTTATGGCAGAGAAATCCGTGAATCTAGTTTAGGGCATGCCAAGTAAGTACAGGCAGTCTGGAGGCATCCAGGTGGTGAGAGTTGGTTTGAGGCCTGAAAGAAAAAACTGAGTCACATGGGCCGGGCGCGGTGGCTCACGCCTGTAATCCCAGCACTCTGGGAGGCTGAGGCGGGCAGATCACTCAAGGTCAGGAGTTCAAAACCAGCCTGAGCAAGTGTGAGACCCTATCTCTACTAAAAATAGAAACAAATTAAGTGGCCAACTAAAAATATATAGAAAAAATTAGCCGGGCATGGTAGTCCCAGCTACTTGGGAAGCTGATGCAGGAGGATTGCTTGAGCCCAGGAGATTGAGGTTGCTGTGAGCTAGGCTGACACCACGGCACTCTAGACTGGGCAACATAGTGAGACTCTGTCTCAAAAAGAAGAAAACTGAGTAACAACCCCTCAGATATGATATGGAGCCCAAGGTAGAGGCTCAGCAGTGGTGATGATTTGTCCTGCTTGGCCCAGCTCCAAGCTGGCACCAGCGTGACACTTGGGGCTAGTCACGCGGCACCTCCGCATAACGTTCCCGACATCCATCTCACCCACAGATTGCAGCCTTCTTCGCCGAGTCTCTGCCCAGCGTGGGAGGGCAGATCATCCCCCCTGCCGGCTACTTCTCCCGAGTGGCAGAGTGAGTAGGTGGTCTGCCCCACGGCGGGCAGCACTGTAATGGGGTTTCCCAGCCTCTTCCGATCCCAAGTCAGCCTGCTCTGCTAGCAAGAGTTTTGAGACAAAGCCCTGAAAGAAATAATGGCCCAGAGAAGGCCAGCCGTTTGCCCAAGACCCCCCACCTACTGCCGACAGAGCCAGGATTCAGCCCCAAGATCTCCTGACTCCTGGTCCGATCTCCCTCCCCACAGCCCCCCATCAGCCGTCTGTCCTCTGCCACAGGCACATTCACGGGGCCGGAGGGGTCTTTGTCGCAGATGAGATCCAGGTCGGCTTTGGCCGAGTAGGCAAGCACTTCTGGGCCTTCCAGCTGCAGGGGGACGACTTCATCCCTGACATCGTTACCATGGGCAAGTCCATTGGCAACGGCCACCCTGTTGCCTGTGTGGCCACAACACAGCCTGTGGCAAGGGCGTTTGAAGTCACCGGTGTTGAGTACTTCAACACGGTAAGTGACAGCTCCGGAATAAGGGAGCAGCTTGGGTTCTGATCAGCCCCAGGAGATCAGCAGAGGCCCTAGGACTAGCACTGTGCCCAGCATGAAGACCCAAGACACTAGCCTTGGAGAGGTTACAGCCAAGTCAGATCAAAAACATAAAACACCTTTAAAAATTAGTGTCAAGGCCAGGCGCAGTGGCTCACGCCTGTAATCCTAGCACTTTAGGAGGCCAAGGCGGGCGGATTGCTCAAGGTCAGGGGTTCAAAACCAGCCTGAGCAAGAGCAAGACCCCATCTCTACTAAAAATAGAAAGAAATTGACAAACTAAATATATATATATATACATATATATATACACACACACAAAAAAAAATTAGCCGGGCATGGTGGCGCATGCCTGTAGTCCCAGCTACTCGGGAGGCTGAGGCAGCAGGATTGCTTGAGCCCAGGAGTCTGAGGTTGCTGTGAGCTAGGCTGATGCCATGGCACTCACTCTAGCCTGGGCAACAAAGTGAGACTCTGTCTCAAAAAAAAAAAAAAATCAGTGTCAATCCAAAAGCTGTCACAAAAGAGCAGCCTTATATAATATACAGAAAGAATATAAGAGTCCTCCTTCCAGGCTAGGTGTGGCGGCTCACACCTGTAATCCTAGCACTCTGAGAGGCCAAGGCGGGAGGATCACGTGAGGTCAGGAATTTGAGACCAGCCTGAGCCCTGAGCAAGAGTGAGACCCCATCTCTACTAAAAATAGGAAAAAAAGCTAGCCAGCCATGGTGGCACATGCCTGTAGTCCTAGCTATTCGGGAGGCTAAGACCAGAGGCTCGCTCGAGCCCAGGAGTTGGAGGTTGCTATGTGCGAGGCTGGCACCACAGCACTCTAGCCTGGGCTACCGAGTGAGACTCTTGTCTCCAAAAAAAAAAAAAAAAGTTTTGTTTTCGTCAGTTCAAGCTGCTATAACAAAATACCATAGACTGGGTGCCTTATAAACAACAAGATTGATTTCTCACAGTTCAGGAAGCTGCAAATCTAAGATCAAGAGTGCCATGGTCAGGTTCTTGTGAGAGTCCTCTTCTGGATTGCAGACTGCCAGCTTCTCACTGCACCCTCACATGGTAGAAAGGGTGAGAGAGTTCTCTGGGGTCCCGTTTATAAAGGCCTATTCCATTCATGAAGGCTCTACTCACATGACCTAATAACCTCCTAAAGTCTCTTAATACCATTGCTTTGGAGATTAGGATTTCAATGTACCAGTTTTGGGGGTGCACAAACATTGAAATCCATTACATGTTACACAGGACTCCTAAAAGTTTTCGTTACATTTTTTTCTGCCTCTTTTTGTCTTTTTCTGGAACTCCATTTGCATGTGTTCATATGCTTAATTGTGTCCACAGGTCTCTAAAGCTCTTTTCTTTATTGACTGATTGATTGAGACAGAATTGTGCTGTTGCCCAGGCTGGAGTTCAGGCGTGGTCACTGCACTTGGGTTTGAGGAATCCTCCCACCCCCGTGTCCCAAGTAGCTGGGACCATAGGTACGTGCTGCTGCACCCAGCTTATTCATTCTTCTGCAGTCCTTTTCTGGTATTCATACTGGACTATCTCAGTAGATAGACTTTCAGGTTTGCTGATCCTTTCATCCGCCAGCTCAAATCTGTTGTTGAGCCTTTCTGGTGAATTTCTCATTTCAGTTATTGTGCTTTTTAATTTCAGATCTTCTACTTGGTTCTAATAACTTCTATCTTTTTTAGACAGTCTCACTTTGTTGCCCGGGCTGGAGTGCCGTGGCATCAGCCTAGCTCACAGCAACCTCCAACTCCTGGGCTCAAGTGATCCTCCTGCCTCAGCCTCCCGAGTAGCTGGGACTACAGGCACACGCCACCATGCCCGGCTAATTTTTCTATGTATTTTTAGTTGGCCAATTAATTTCTTTCTATTTTTAGTAGAGACAGGGTCTTGCTCTTGCTCAGGCTGATTTCGAACTCCTGACCTTGAGCGACCCACCACAGCCTCCCAGAGTGCTAGGATTATAGGCATGAGCCACCATGCCTGGCCAATAATTTTTATCTCTTTATCATTAATCTGTGTTTTGGTGAGATGTCATTTTCATGATTTGCTTTAATTTAGATATAGTTTCCTTTAGTTCTTTTAACATGTTTATAACATCTGATTTAAAGTCTTTGTCCAAGAAAGTCAAGGTCTGGGCTTCCTCAGGGATAGATTGCTATGGGTGATGCTTTTTTTTTTTTTTTTTTGAGATAGTCTCACTCTCTTGCCTAGCCTAGAGTGCCATGGCATCAGCCTAGCTCACAGCAACCTCAAATTCCTGGGTTCAAGCGATCCTCCTGCCTCATCCTCCCAGGTAGCCAAGACTATGGGCACATACCACTGTGCCCCACAAATTTTTTCTATTTTTAGTTGTTTGGCTAATTTCTATTTATAGTGGAGACAGGGTCTCATTCTTGCTTGGGCTGGTCTCAACCTCCCTAGCTCAAGCAATCCTCCTGCCTCGGCCTCTTAAAGAGTGCTAGGAAGAATTTAAAATAAGACTAAGTGGCTAAAAAAAAAGGTAAAATAAACGTTTAAATAATTAAAAAAAAAGAAAAAGAGTGCTAGGATTACAGGTGTGAGCCACTGCTCCCAGCCATGCTTCTTTCTTTGCATGTTTTATAATTTTTGGTTGAAAGCTGGACATTTTAAATAATGTAATGTGGCAACTTTGGAAATCATATTCTCTTCCCTCCCCATGATTTGTTGTTGCTTTTTTGTTGCTGTTTGCTTAGTGCCATTTCTGAACTAACTCTGTAAAGTCTGAGTTCTTTGTCATGTGTGGCCACGAGTCTCTACTTGGTTAGCTTAGTAGGTCATCTAAGGATTGGACAGAGAGCTCCTTAGTTACCTTGAACTGTAAGTCCCTCAGCCTGGAGTTTATAACTCCTCCTAAGCCTTTACTTCCTCATTCAGAGCCTCGGAATAGCCAGTAGGGAGAGCTCAGGGCTTTCCAGGACGGTGCTGAGCTCACACAGCGCTGGGCGTGTCCCTGTGCGTAGGAATGGCCTTCTAGAGTCCCAGGAATACATCCGGGCCTTTCAAAGCCCCTTGTAGACATCTCATAGTGACAGAAAGCAGGTCAGTGGTTACCTGAGGCCAGTAGTAGGGTGGGTGCACAAGGGTGCACAAGGAGTGTGATAGAAACATTCTGCAGTTTCATTGTGAGGGAGGTTCCCCAGGTTACATTTATCATAGCACACTGAACTTTACTTTTTTTTTTTTTTTTTTGAGACAGAGTCTCGCTTTGTTGCCCAGGCTAGAGTGAGTGCCGTGACATCAGCCTAGCTCACAGCAACCTCAAACTCCTGGCTCAAGCAATCCTCCTGCCTCAGCCTCCCAAGTAGCTGGGACTACAGGCATTCGCCACCATGCCCGGCTAATTTTTTGTATATATTAGTTGGCCAATTGATTTCTTTCTATTTATAGTAGAGACGGGGTCTCGCTCTTGCTCAGGCTGTTTTTGAACTCCTGACCTCGAGCAATCTGCCCGCCTCGGCCTCCCAGAGAGCTAGGATTACAGGCGTGAGCCACCACACCCGGCCTGAACTTTACACTTTAAACATACAGTTTGGGGTGAGGTTCTTTTTGGCTCAGCCCTTTACAGGGATGAATAGCACACACATTTATATGTAAATTATGCCTCAATAAAGTTGACTTTTTTAAAAAAGATGTAGTTTAGAAACAAAAACCTGGTCTACAGGAGACCTCCAGCTCCCTCCTGCTCCTCTCAAGTGCAGGTCCTGACTCAGACCCTTCGGGCGGGGGAGGGAGGTGAGCAAAGGCACTCCGGTGTCTGGGTGTCTGAACTGAGGAAGCACCCCGTGCTGGGCGTGGGCAGCCAGAAAGGCCAGGCTTCGTTTAAGTCACAAATGCAGATTTGTGTGTGACGTCTTTCGTTTTAAATTGTTAGCACCTAATTCATAACTTTAGAATAAGGCCATATGGGCCAAGCAAAATGAGTCCACAGGCCAGACGTGGCTCCCAGGGCCCTGCAGTCTGCCCTGAACTTGTGCCACACAGTGGCTTCCCTAGGGCACTCTGGCACGCTGCCCCTGGCCCTCCTTGAAGGGATGGGAACTAGTCCATTGCTGTGAGTCTGGCTGGGCACAGCCAGTGAGATGGGGCCCTAACTCCTCTTGGCAAAGACTAGCTCTGCAGGAGCGCATGGTACACCCTCAGAGTCTGCATCTTCTTGGGGCTCCTGCTGCACCCCTGGGGATATGACCCGGGTTACAGTCACATGAGCACCTGGAAAGCCAGGACAGCTCATGGGGGCCTCCAGAGAACCCCATGTACTGCCAGTGACGATGAGCCCTGAGGGGTTCTGGCCCTGTGCTCTTGTCACTGCCAGTTCTGCTGCCCTCGTCCTCCCTGGGGTTTGGCCTACGAATTCTGCTGGGTGTGTGACATGTCCTTTGTCCTGGCTCAGTTTGGGGGAAGCCCGGTGTCCTGCGCTGTGGGGCTGGCCGTCCTAGAAGTCTTAGAGAAGGAGCAACTCCAGGCTCATGCCGCGCATGTGGGCAGCTTCCTGATGGAGCTCCTCAGGCAGCAAAAGGCCAAACATCCCATCATCGGGGACGTCAGGTAAGGCTCTGGGGGCAGTAGTCACCACCTACCTGCCATGTACCATTTTCTTCTTTCTCCTCTAGCAACTGGAATGGTGGGAATTTTTATGCCTGCTTTCCAGAGGAGCTGAAATAGGGAGGGGCAAGCCAGGACGCCACCTGACCCTGAGCCCAGCCTCCTTCCTCTGTCCACACCAAGGACCCCTCCATTTCCCAGTTACTTCTTGAACTGTTTTCACCACCCTTCCTGCTCTCAGCCTCCCCAGGAGGCACAGGGCACTGCCCTGGTGGGCTTTCTAAAGGAGGGCTCGGCCAAGGCCCAGCAGAGGGTGAGCGAGGACCCTGGCTCCTCAGGCCTGGGCCCTGAGATACCACCTTGTTCTCCAGGGGTGTTGGGCTCTTTGTTGGCGTGGATCTGATCAAAGATGAGGCCACGAGGACACCAGCAACGGAAGAGGCCGACTACTTGGTATCCAGGTATTTTTCCTTGAAACAAATTGCCTTCTAGAGTAGGAGACACCATAGGTGCCTCTTTGAAAGCCTAGACCTTAAGTGGGAAGGAAGCCGCCTCCTGCCTGTCCATCTGCCCACCGTCTTCCCAGACTGACTGAAGGAGGGCAGCAGCTGGGCCTGGGAGCAGGGCAGCTGGCCAGTGGTCGTGCCAGTTCTACATCCAGTGCCTGGCCACAAAGGCTTCCGGTGAGGTGCAGGCTGCCCCAGCTGAGCGGCCTCCTCTGCCCAGAGTGCCAGAGCTAGCAGACGCTCAGATCCAGGCAGCCCCAATGCCACCTCTCACAGGCTGGGAGCTGGAGAAGGGCAGCAGCTTCTCGGGAGTCACACCAGGTGTCCCCAGACCCCCCCAGTTGGGATGGGCAGGATACCTGGTCCTGGCCTGGGTGGAGGGTATCTGGATGAGTCAGCATCTCAGGAGCTCCTTCTCCTTCTGATTTAATTATTATTCTTGCTACCCACATTCCCCATGCTACCCCTCCCCCACCATGGAAACCCCTTCCGGTGTTTGACATTGTGTCCTTACTCAGACTGTGCAACCTGCACTAACCTGCAACAGTATTGGTGTAAACCTCCCTCTGCACCATGTTTTTAAGACTGGGCCATCCTCAGTGGCCAGCTGGGCTCTGCTCTCTCTGGTCAGTGACGTGCACAGGCTCATCCGGGTTCTGGACACCCACAGCACTCAGGCTTGCTGCTCTAGTTCAGGAGAAAGTGGACTCGGGGCAGGCGTCCCACTGAGGCCGGGCACTCCAGAGCTGCGGCTCCATGGCCCAAGCCTTGTTCTCTCTGCACTGGCTGTGGCCGGCACTGTCCGTGCTGGACAGACTGAGGACAGTCACCACACCCCTAGAGCTGGTAGGAGTCAGAGAACGTACACGGTCACCACAGCCGCCTCTCGGGAGCCAGAGTCCCTTACTAGGTTAAAAATGTCACTGTGTGATATGGAAAACGAATCTTAAGTACAAATGATAACGTTAAAGGTAAAGCCATCTTCTAAAAAGAACTGGAAATCAAAAATGAATAGTCCTCTGGGATTGCAAATACCCTGTGGAACAGGAACGTGGAAGTTACTGAAGCCAGTGTGGCCCATGTAGGGTTCATTGTCCTATTTGCAGTGTGGACATTTTCCATATGAAAAGGAAACAGTGCACGTCACATCAACCTTACCTAAAATAGGAAATGCTGGTGATTCTTGTCGCATTCTAAGCTGCTTAAAGGGGCTCCAGGGATTTGTGACAAGAGAGGAGGCACCTCTTCTGGGGGGCAGCAGGTTCAGGGCTGGGTGCAGCGCACCCTAGGTGGGGCCATCGGTGCTGGGGCATAGAATGAGCCGCAGGGGTGGCTGGTACAGTGTCCTAGCGGGACTGGCCTGTGGAGGGCTGAGGGCAGCATGACTGGAGCCCCCGGGTAGGGGCCAAGGCCAGGCTGAAGGGAGGCTGAGGCATGTGAAGGGGTGTCCTGTCCTCACAGGCTGAAGGAGAACTACATTTTGCTGAGCACAGATGGCCCTGGAAGGAACGTCCTGAAGTTTAAGCCCCCAATGTGCTTCAGCCTGGACAACGCACGACACGTGGTGGCAAAGCTGGACGCCATTCTGACAGGTGAGCCTGGAGCCTGTGGGGCAGCCGGCCACATCTCTAAACCTCCCAACAATGCACCAGGGAAGGGGTGGGAGCCCAGCAGCTGGGGCTGGGAGCATTAAGTGCAAGTAGACTGGGCCCCGCCTGGGCCTCTTCCTCTTGCTGAGCCCCAGGTAGGTGGGAGCTGAGCCGCCACCCAGGCTGACTGGGCAGAGGGCAGACAGCATGGGACCCAAGGCAAGGGCAGCCAAAACCCCATTACTTGTGCTTACAGCCACCCAGGGATACAGGGGACAACTCGAGGTTAGGGCCACCCTTGGCTACTGAGTGGCTGAAACAAGATTTATACTAGCAAGAACTGATTGAATGCAAAACGAAATGCCTCCCTACATTCCTAATCGCCTAGGATGGTCATGGTTAGCCCAGGGTCTCCCATAAATTCACTTTTAACCCTCTTAATGCAGCAGGCCAAAATATCGGCTTCTGCACTAGGGCAGAAAGTACAGTGGGCCAACATTGTTAACCATGTAGGAGCCAATACATCAGCCCACTGCACTTTGCACCCTAGATGACATATAGGCCCAGCGCACTGAGGGTTAAGGAAATCTCTTAATTACCAAACTGGACAAGGCTGTGTACTGAGGTACATACAGAGCTCAGTGAGACCCCAAATAGGCAAAATTACATCATGGCAGGGACCAAATTTCCCTCCCACCTCTAGGTACTTCATTGCTACCCACAGAAGGGCTTAAAACCAGGGCTGTGGAGCCAGGGGAGGCCCAGTCCCTGCCAGACACCATTGGAGGTGGTGGGGTACAAAGGCTGGCCACACGCCTGGCTAGGGTTCTTGGACAAGCCCTGAGTCCTGGGAGAAGGGAGGGCTGGCTCCGACTCTCAGGAAATTGTGGGTAAGGGTAGGGGTGAGACTGAAGGCATCATGTCTTTGGCAGAGAAAGTTGAATTCTTTGTGGTCTTTTCTAGACATGGAAGAGAAGGTGAGAAGCTGTGAAACACTGAGGCTCCAGCCCTGAACCAGCCCTGCTTGGTCAAGTGTCCTCCAGGTGAGTAGGCCTTGCCTCTTGCTCTGAGACCCAGAGCCACTTCCCTAACCCTCAGCAAACTGGACCATATTTTTTTGTCAACATGTTTTTTCTGATTGATGTCCCCCTTCCCAAAAGCTAGCTTCAGCTAATAGTGGGAGTCTCAGCTGCCCAGATTATCTACTCATCCCACCAAAACACGCAGCTTGCATGTGCTAACAGAAGCAGCTACTTCCTCCTTCAGCTCCTCCTAGGGGTGAGAAAAAACAAAACTTGTGAGGCGGCCATGTCCACCTGGAGCCACCAGGCTTGGGGTGTTCAAATTCAGCCAGTTAATACCCCTGCCAGAGCAGGCCTGTGCGTGCCAGCCAGGAGGGGGCACTGTTGTGCCCCTATTCAGCTGGCCCCTGGCATTGCCCTAGTCTGAGTTCCCACTGTCCTGCTGGAAGAGACAAAAAAACCTCATTTATATTGGTCAGTCCAGACTGTCTGGTGTTCAGGGCTGAGGGATGCAGGCCTGCTGGGGGGGCAGCCCTCGCCCCCATCAGCTGCCTTTTAGGAGGTATTTCCCTTCTTTAAAGGGGGCCTACATTCTGGGCAGGGCGGTCTGAGGAAGCTAGCCCAGGATGTGGGGCGTGTGTGGTTATGCCCCACAGGATGCTGCTAGGAGATCGTAGAGGATGCGGACTCAGAACAGTAAGCGGTGGCTCAAAAAGGTCAGTGGCCAGGTCCTTCTATCCAAGCTGCGCCCGCCACTCTGGGCAAGAGGTCTCACACAGCAGATCCCACACTCACCCAGGCTTGGGGGTTTTTAAATTTTTATTTCAAAAGCTTGGATAGCTTCAATATCCAGGTCGTGGCAAAATCAGGACACGTGTAAAATACCTTACAATACATTAGATTCCCAAAAAGGTACCAAAAAGTACAGTAAAATTAACACTTCCATTACAGGAAATGTATGACACAAACAATATAAAATTAAAAGGTGAAAAAAAGGTGACACTGGTTTCCTAAGGTACAGTTTACTCTTTTACGACCAGGGTCCACAGGCCCAGGCTGCAGAGCGGCGGCGGGAGCAGACCCTCCCATCTGGTTCTGGGTAACCTGGTAGTAAAATCAGCCCGTAATGCCGCTCTGGCCTCTGAGACACCACACGCTGCCTAAAACAACTAGAGCTCTGGAAATAGTAAACAGGAGAGTGATTTCCAGGGGGCAAATTTTAAATAAGATGCACATGGGACAGGCCATAGAAAGTTTGCCAAGTTAAATTTGGTACATAATTGTGTTCACTCCATATCCAAACAAAGCATGTGCGGTCAGCTGGTCGAGCGCTCCTGCCGCCGCCTCAGTATGGCTTATAGTTATTCTGATGGCCGCCGCGTCGCTGGCTCTTGCCGTAGTTTGTACTACCCTGACCTAGGGAACAAAAACAGTAGAGCTAGTACTTACTGAGCATTCACCCTGTGCCAGGCGCTTGACACGCATCTCCACAGGGTCCTCAGCTGCCCTGCCCCGGGCAGGGATTACCTTCCCCACCTTACCGAGGCCCACAGCTAGAGCTCAAAACCAGGTAGCTCCAGTGGCAGAGCCAGGCCTGTCTGACTCCAAAGCCCCTGCTGCCAGTGGCTCCTGTACTCTCTGTCCTGCCTCCCCTGGGTGGATAAGCAGATGGGGCCTCCCTCTCTCCTACTTACTGTAGTCGTAGCCGGGGCCGTAGCCGTAATAGCCATAGGGCGAGTAGTCGTAGCCGCCATAGCCGGGCCCGTAGCCCTGCTGATAGCCGTAGCCCTGGTTCCAGTAGTTGCCGTAGCCCTGATTCCAACTCTGACTCTGACCTGTGGGGGGAGCAGGGCACAGGGGCCCACGGGCCATTTAGCACACGAAGGAGCTAGGATGGAGGAAATCCTGCCCTTTGGGTGGCGGGGTTACTATGGCAACTCAAGCAGAAACCAGGGCGCTGCTGTTCTAATGCAGAGGGGCCTGGGCCCGGCCCTGCATCTGAGAGACCCAAGCAGCGGATCAGAGGCCAGGACGCTAACTTCACTAGGGGCAAACAAGGCAGCTCACTCACTTAAATCACCCTCTGGTCAACCCCACCCTCCCTGGCAGCTCAGCCTTTAAAAAGATGGAGTTCAGGCTTTGGAGTCAGAGGGGCCTGGGATGGAAGGAGGTAAGCGCCTGGCACAGCTCTGCCCTATCCCTTCCGCCCACGGGTATGCCAGACTCAGAGGATACCCACAGAGCCAAGACACCCTATCATGTCCCCTGCCCAGAATGCAATGCGAATGCTCCCTCTTGCCCTGGACCCCAAAGCCACATGAGTAAGAAAGACAGGGTTCTTCCATTCCAAGGGACAGCAGCAGCACAGCCTCAAGCACACAGCCTTGACCCATGAAAACCGTGCCTGCCCACCCCTGCTGCACAGCACCAGAGGGAGCCCCAAGACAGGCATGGAAGGCTCCATGCAGGCAGGGAAATGGGACCGTTTTCATCCAGGTTCCACTCACCTCCACCGCCACCACCACCGCCGCTGCCTCGGTTCCCCCGGTTGCGGTTTCCACGGCCCCCAGAGCCATACTGCTGCTGCTGATAGACCTCTTTGGGCTGAGCCACCTTGATTTCACACTAAAAGCCGAGAGGACAGTGGGTCAGGCCAGTGGAGCAAGCTCGGGACAGGGATTGTGCACCACAACAGTCAGTGGATAAGGTCCATTTGCTCAAAAACAAACATGCCGGGGTAGGAGACCACATTTGGGCTAGAAGCTCTTGGAACCAACTAAAACCAAAGGTCTTTCTGATGAGAACCTTTCCTGGGGGTGGATGAGCTCAACCCCAGGGCATCTCCACGTCTGTCTGACAGAGAGACAGCTGGCACCACCTTGGTCCTACTGGGCAGGAGGGTCAGATAAGACTACTCAAATGAGGGGCCTTAGATAAGAAGGTGGTTCCTTACATGTTTTTCTTTTTTTACAGAAACTCATCTCACCCAGACACTCTATTGAGAAGGTGACCCTGCTCTCCATCTTGCAGATAAAGCTCTGAGGCTCCACTGGTTTGTTCGGATGGGCCAGATGTCGACATCTCCCTAGGTCCCAAAGAGTCCACTTCCTCTTTGCTCAAAAATCTGCCCACTGAGGATAGGGTGGGATTGGGGACTGAGGTGCTCCTGCTTAAATAAATCCCAATACTGCATTTTTAAGCTAAGTCCCCTGATACACACTCCCATTAAATATAGCCCATTTTACACACTGTATCCCCATGCAAGCATAAACCTTTAACTGGCAAATTACCCCTACACCAAGTGATACAATCTGATGTTTTCTATCCTACTGAATTAAAAACATGAATACAACCAACTAAATATACTTATTTCTGACACCACCAGCAGTTTCACTTAAATCCCGCCTTAGAGGCTCTTCCCATCCATTTCCCATTATTGCACACAAAGAAAAAGGACTCTCTGTATCACTGTCCAGTGGAGTAACAACTAATGCCTCACTTGTCTGCCCCTAAATTTTCTGTTACATTTAAGGGCCTAATCCAATCTTTCCAAACTCTCAATCTGGATGGAGGCTTCCAGGAGCCCCACCCTACCTGTCCCCCCTTATCTGGCTGCCAAGTCCTACACTGCCACAGTGCTTGCCACACCCTGCCACAGCAGGCCACACCCTCAACTCCAACTGCCAACTTAAAAGCCTAAACTACCTTCTCCCTGACCAGAGTCCAGGGAAGAGCTACACTTCTCACTACACAAGACTCCACTCATTTGAAAGCACAACTGGCCCTGGATTTAAGCTGGCCAGGACCCTGGAAGTTCTCTGGGAGGGATCTTGCCCTGAGGGTAACGTTGATAAAGCAGTGCCCAAGTGGACGGAAAGGGACAAAAATGTGGTTGTAGAGCCCCTTCCCAACTGTGCCCCCTTCTCCAAAACAAACAAACAAATTTTGGTTATAAAAAGAGGTAGAAAAATCCTGTAGCAAGAAAAACCTTCACCATAGAGGGATATCAGTGAGTTGCAGAAGTTCTAAACTCTTCTGAGATCTTAGCTGGAGGCGTTATACACCCAGGACTCTAAGATCTAGAACACTGTCACCTCTAGCTTTAAATCAGGAACCAAAAAGGCCACTCAGCATGCTCTAGTGGACAGGCCACACTTCCTCTCCTATCTTCCCTCATATCCTGTATATTTACTGGCAGTCCTCCCAGCCTCAGAGCTCTGAGGGACAGCATCACCGCACAGGGCAGCACACGCTGAGGAAACAGCAAGGTCTGGCTAACCTGCACAACTCTCGCTCCACGTGGCCCAGCCCCTAACCCACACCTGCAGGGCCAGCTCTCCAGCAGCAAGGAGCCAGGCACACAGAGCTGGGGACCTTACCTTGCTTCCACTGATAGTATGGAACTTTTTTTCCAGAACCTTCTTCACAGGTTCTTCTTCTTTAAAGGTGATAAACACAAAACCTCGTCTCTTGTTCAACTTTGGATCCATTGGAAGCTCAATGGCCTCGATCTGCAAAAAGCACAGGCAAACCTCAGGACCGCTACCCCCAACCCCAGGGCATACAGGAAACTCACAGAAGAAAACCACTACAGGCCGGAGAAGGTGAAAAAGCAGCCCTGCCCAGGGCGCCAGGCAGCCAAGGCTACCAAGGACCAGGAAGAAAGCAGCCTCTGGGCACCTTGCAAGCCACTCCCGGAGCCACACACTCACCTCCCCGAACTCTCCAAAGTACTCCCTGATCTTTTCCTCGGTAGCTTCAGGATTCAGACCCCCCACAAAGATTTTCTTCACTGGATCCTTCTTCATAGCCATGGCCTTTTTAGGATCAATGACACGGCCATCCAGCCTGTGCTCCTTCTGGTCTAGGACCTGTTGCAACAGAAGAGGGACAAGTTCTAACTCAGCAGTATGACCTGGACACGGCCCCTCTCTTTGAGCCATAAAGACAACGAAAGACACCAGCACAGACACACAAATGCATTTCATCCCCTCAAATTTCTACCCAAGCTAGACTTCCCAACCCAGTTTTCTTCAAATCCCAGGTGCAGCTGGTTTACCTAAACACCTATGAATCAGTCCTCATCCCTGAGCCCATGCTGTGCCCCCTTCTTCCTGCCAAAGCAGTCCCAGCTTAAGGCCCATGCATCTCCGTAAACAAAGCGACAGGAATTCAGAACCCAGGCTGGAGGCAGCTGCTGGGAATGGAACCCTCACTCCACCCTTACTATCTGATCTCCTCTACTTTAACTTGGCTGGGCCTTAGGTTTTTGGCTTTCCAAAAAAAGTGGGGCTAAACGCCCATCTCATAGGAATCTTCGATTCTTTTCTAACATTCACAATAACATATTAATACAGTGCCCGGTAACAGGCACATAAAAAGGTAACAGATATAAACTGTGACCTTCCTGAACCACCCCAGCCCATACTCTCACTCCAAACTTCACATCTATATTTTTATTCCTCAAAAACAGGAACTTAATTTCTAACCTGTATGCTTTCCCCAAAGCACTCGACCACACAAACAGCACACGAACTAGGCATCCCGTTATAATCCCATCGTCTACACTGGACTGCTGATGGACTGCGCCCAGCTTACCTTCTCCACACTGGCTGCATCTCTGAAGAGGATAAACCCAAACCCTCTTGACCGTCCAGTGTTGGGGTCCATTTTTATCGTACAGTCAACGACCTCCCCAAATTTAGTAAAATAGTCTTTTAAATCTTTTTTGCTGGTATCCCAACTCAGGCCACCGACAAACATTTTCCTGAAATGGTAGGATGAGACACATGGCAACAAGTCTTATTATGTTAAGCTGTGATCTCAGGAAGGAACGGCCGTCGCAAAGCTTTCGCTGAAAAGCTTGCAAAGCCACTATCACCGCAGCCGCCTTAAGAGTGTGCATCGCAAGCTCCACTACCCTCCAAACTCAGCTCGACCCGGACTCTAACACGGCTTAACGAGCCTGTGAAGCCCAGGCTGCGCGAGGAAGGACAAGCTCGCCGGACACGTGGACCCTGACCGCCCGCGACTGGGGATCCACGCGGGCCACCACCTCGCATCCCGAGAACCCGTTTCAAGGAACTGGAGGCTTCCCGGGGCCGAGGCCGCCCCGGGTTCAGGGCCCGACTCCGCCCCCCGGCAGGAGGCGGGAGGCCCGGGCGCGCGCGCCAACTCCGCCCACGCAGCCCGGCGCGGCCCCAGACTCGCGGCGCCCCGGGTCCGAGCGCTCCCCTTCTTCCGGGCCGCCCGCCGCCCGCAGGCCCGGCCGCCCGCCGCCCCTCCCCCCGCCGCGTGGCGCCAACAAAAGGCGGCCCGGAACAAAGGCGGCGCCCCGTCCGCACCTACCCTGCGTCCTCCTCGTTCTTGCTGGCGTTGATCTGGTCACCCTCGGCGCCGTTCTGATTCCCGCCCGGGGGCGCCGCGGTCCCGCCTCCGGCCCCCGCCGCGGCCCCGCCGCCAGCCCCGGCCGGCGGCTCGCCCTCGGCGGCGGCCTCGTGTCCGTTCTCGGTGGCGCCCGTCGTCTCCATGGGCTGCTCCTCAGCCGCTTCCGACATACTAGGCCGAAGCGCGGCGGCTCCTGCAACGAGTGGCCGCACGCGGCGACGGCGCGTCAGGCCGGCGCGGCTCCCGCCGGCGCTCCCGCCCGCCCGCCGCTCACCTCGCCGCCGATGACGCCGCGCGGCCCGCTCGTCCCCACCCGCCGGGGAAGGCTCCGCGGGCTCGGCCGCGCTCGGGCTCGCGCTGCTGGGGCCTCGCCTCCGTCCGCCGACGGAGCCGCTCCGACCGCGCTCCCGCCTCCTCGGCCGCCGCCGAACAGAGCCGCCGACCCCAAGCCCAGCCCCGGCCCGCGCGCTGCCGCCGCCTGACAATGCCGACTCGTGGCGCTCTTTATAATGCCGGGGGCCAGGGGGCCACCTCGCAACAAGGCGCATGCTCATTGGCCGCGCTGGCCCGTCACTCAGCCCTGCGCCGCCGTCCCATTGGCCGAGCCGGCGCGCGCACATAGATCCGGGCGGGCTTTGTCCTCATTTTAGAACCCGCGCGAGTCAGGGCCCTACGAAGGGTTCCTGAGTCCGGGCCGGGCGGTGTGTCCCGGGCGACCCGCAGCCGCAGCCCAGCGGCGGGCGGGCCCGAGCTGGACCCTCCGCTCTCTCAGGCAGCAGCCTCTCGCCCCGGTGCGCCCCATCCCAGCATTGGCGGCCCCGGCCTCCCCATTTCCCGAAAGAGGAAGCTGGAGCCGAGGAGAGTCTCGCAGCCCAAGGTCGCCCCGCTGGAAGCGGCAGAGCCCGGGCTTCCAAGATGGGGCGACTGGGGTCCTCCACGGCCCTCAGCAGTGGTCGGAGTGATCGGAATGGAAGCCACCCTCCCCCTCAACCTTGCTGTGCTCGAGGACTCGCGCTCCTGCCCTTTTGATCGCCTCCCCCGGCCACCGGGGCTGGGGGGTCCCCCAGGTGTGGGGTGCCGACAAGTGTCCCTAAGTCTTACTTAGGTCGCTCCGCACCGCCTTGAAGGCTAGTTAACGTCGCATTTACACTTTCGTTTACTCAAAATTTTCCCTTTAATTCCTTTGTTTTTGTTGAAGCTTATTTTTGACCAAAATATGCCGCTCGTGTAATCATGAGGTTTTTGGAGAGTGGCTACTAGTTCTCTGCTCCTGATCCACAAAAATTCAAAGCCCCTTTATATTAGCTCCTTGATCACCAAACCGGTAGTCTCTGATTCCTCTTAATCGTATGGGAGGCAGCCCCCAAACTGATGAGGATTACAACCTAGGAAGCCCAGGGGTTACCAAACAGCAGCACCGAACACAAGCGGCTAACATTTCTCTGGATTCCTGCAGCCAGGCCCAGTGTGGCAGCCGGGCGTTCTGTTTTCTCTTGTGTCCTCACAACCCCATAGAAGGCGCTGCTAACATCACCAATTTTACATGAGAAAACTGAAGCCCAGGTTGGCGGCCCAGGGGCAGAGTTGCCTTGAGGATGAAAAATGTTTCACGTTTTGAAAAAAATATTTTCAGACTTTTTTAAGAAAAATCTGAAGATTTAGCCACACTGCACTGCATTCCCCCCAGGGCAATAGTCAACTAGAACCGGGGTACCCATGCCCAGCTGAGCAAGTGCACTCTGGTTCACCCCAAGTTGGCCCAGGTAACCTCTTCACACTTTCAGGCCAGACTCCGTAACTAGAAGTCACGGATCTACACACAACCATAGTCATGTCGCTGAAATCTGGCGGTAGGGCTTTCCGGAAGTCTCTAGCAAACTGTCTACCCCCACCTCCACCCTAGCCTTGGCCAACCCTCAGAAATGAGGGCCAGCAGATGATGTGCACAGCTCCTTAAGTAGTGAAGATAATTCAGCAAATTAAGTCCAAAGTCAAATAGTATACATGCAGCTCCGGGACATTATTGAGGACTTAAATTCACAACTTAAGTCTTAAATTCACAACTTTAGCACAACTCAGACACACTTGCAATGATACGTGAAGTCTAAGCATAGCATCTGAACGCGGCTTCACGGTTTGCAATATGCATTCACCAGCACTGCTTTATTGGAGCTTCGAAATAGCTTTGTGCAGTTACCTCTATTTTATACACAACGCTGAAAGCGTTGGCTAAAACTGTGGCCACGGAGCCGGCATTTTCAACTTCATGTTAGGGATTGTCTCTAGGGCTCCTGACTACTGTGGAACAAGATGTCTCTGATCTTCTAAATTCCTTGGTCTAAGTTAGATCTCCTATTGGATTAAATTATTCTGAGAAAATGCTCTATAATTCTGAGAACTGCACACGAGGAGGGAGTCAGTCTCGGCACAGAATGCAATATAAATATTGCACTCAAGGGTGTTTTCTGCCAGAGGCGGGGCCCCAGGCTGCTTGGAAACTCTAGGAAGTCCCTTGGACACAAGGGTCTTGTTACTGGGTCCCCGTTACGGACCCTGAGTGGAGGGCATCTTCTATAACAGTGAGGTACTCAAGTCAGCAAGGGGCTCAGTTACTCCTCAAAACCCTTAAGAGATCCGCAGAGCACAGGACTAGCTTTGGGGATCAGATGAGGCTATCTAGCATTGTGTGCATAAAACGTGTATTAAATCTTTTGGCTAGAAGACGACATACACACAACGCATTCTGATAGTTATTTTAATCACATGAATTACATTAAATAATTTTTCTCTCTCTCTTTTTTTTTCCTGTGGCTGAGCCTCCAAGATGGAATTTGCAAGAGTTTAACTAACATATTGTCCCTCCGCTGCGGCCACCTTGCACGGCAGCACTTCCCACACGCCACCAGCCAGCTGCGCTGCTTCAGGGCCCACTGGCTTTAGACTCTGACTCTAGCCGGAGGAATCTTTCTAAAACGCAACTCAGACCTTGTCACCACCTCTGTGTGAAAGCCCTGGCTGACTTGCCAGGGCTCTGAGGACCAAGTCCCAGCCCTGACTTTCAGTCAGAGAGACAGTCAGGGCTTCCAGAAATCCACACCCACCCCACACAGCCTCCCTTGCTGTGTGGTCTGTGAGTGGAAGGGTTACCATGTTTCCCCAAAAATAAGATAGGGTCTTATTTATTTATTTTTAATTTATTTATTCAATTTAAATATTATATTATTTTAATAATTAATATCATATCAATTATATTAATTATAATATTATATAATTAATACTTATTTAAAATATTATATATTTATAATGTATATCTAATAATATATATAATATAATATATATATAGATATATATTATATATAATATAATTATATAATAATATATTAATGATAATAATTAAATTAATAATATTATTATTTTATTATATTAAAAATAAAATATTTATTTTTCCTCAAGAACACCTTAGACTGGGCACAGTGGCTCACACCTGTAATCCCAGCACTCTGGGAGGCGAGGCGGGTGGATCGCCAAGGTCAGGAGTTCGAAACCAGCCTGAGCAAGAGCCAGACCCTGTCTCTACTAAAAAAGAACAAATTAATTGGACAACTAAAAATACATAGAAAAATTAGCCAGCATGGTGGCACATGCCTGTAGTCCCAGCTACTTGGGAGGCTGAGGCAGGAGGATTGCTTGAGCCCAGGAGTTTGAGGTTGCTGTGAGCTAGGCTGACGCCACAGCACTCACTCTAGCCTGGCAACAAAGTGAGACTCTGTCTCAAAAAAAAACAAAAACAAAACAGGGACATACATAGAAAACACCACAAGGAAAGACTCCCCCGAGCCTCTTGAGCCTTTGGGGAGGACCATGGCCCTGCCAACACTTTGATTTTGAACTTCTGGCCTCCATAACTGAGGGAATGAACCCTGTTGTTGCAAGCCACATAGTTTGTGGCACTTGATGACAGCAGCCCTAGCAAACCAACACATCTGTAGACTCTGCCTTCTCCAAGAAGTGTCTGTCTTTCATGCCCGGAGGAAGGGCCACTGTCGGAGCAAGACCATACAGCACTGAAGCTGACTAGCAGCTCCATGAGGTCCCGCACCAGGTCCGTCTCCTCACCCTAACCAACCAGTGGGCTTGCCAGTACTTGCAGAACGAGTGAGATCTCTTCCCCCAGGGTTACAAACCGGCGCCTTCTGGACCAAAGCTGACTCTTGGACATGACTCCTTACCCTACATAGTATTTTAATCTAATTTTATTTATTTACTTCTACATAATAAATGAATTTATTTAGCTCTATCACCTGGGATACAGTGCCGTGGTATCAGCCTAGCTCACAGCAACCTCAAACTCCTGGGCTCAAGCGATCCTCCTACCTCAGCCTCCCAAGTAGCTGGGACTACAGGCATGCGCCACCATGCCCGGCTAATTTTTTCTATATATTTTAGTTTGCCAATTAATTTCTTTCTATTTATAGTAGAGATGCGGGGTCTAGCTCTCGCCGGGCCTAATTTTTCTATTTTTGGTAGAGACAGGGTCTCGCTCTTGCTCAGGCTGGTACCAAACTCCTAAGCTCAAGTGATCCTCCTGCTTCGGCCTCCTAGATAGTTAGGATTACAGGCGTGAGCCACAATGCCCAGCCAGTAGTTTGATTGTTTAAAAAAATTACTTGCCAACATTCATAATTTATGGCATTTCTACAAAATGTTATGTTTCCAGATACCTTTGGAAAATTGTTAGATGAAGTCACACTGGGCAGAGTCTTATGTATCCGTAATCGGCAGGAGCTGAGTCACGCTGCCCACAGCAGAGGAGACAGGTGCTGTCCAAACGCCAGCCCCCACCACGTCCGATGTCCTCCCAGACCTCCTGAACTCGCTCTCACCGACTGGAAGCATCTGAGATGTCAATCCCAAAGCAGACCTCCATGAAGTTCAGCTTCATTTGTCTTTAAAACAGGATGACAGGCCAGGCGCGGTGGCTCACGCCTGTAATCCCAGCACTCTGGGAGGCCGAGGCGGGCGGATTGCTCGAGGTAGGGAGTTCGTTCGAAACCAGCCTGAGCAAGAGCGAGACCCCGTCTCTACTATAAAGAGAAAGAAATTAATTGGCCAACTAATATATATAGAAAAAATTAGCCGGGCATGGTGGCACATGCCTGTAGTCCCAGCTACTCGGGAGGCTGAGGCAGGAGGATCGCTTGAGCCCAGGAGTGTGAGGTTGCTGTGAGCTAGGCTGACGCCACGGCACTCACTCTAGCCTGGACAACAAAGCGAGACTCTGTCTCAAAAAAATAAAAAAATAAAAAATAAATAAAAATCAGGATGACAGCCCCTGTCAGTAGTTCTTCAGGGGCCGAAAGAACGGTGCCTGGTGTAAATGAGCTGCTGTCACCGCTAAGGACAGTCGTCACAACAGAAGCAAAGGGAAGACTCCTTTTTCTACTGAACCCCCCAGCGTGTCTCAAATAGAATCTTCAAACCAGATGAGTACGATCTGAAGAGACTCACCCCACACCCTGCTTCAGGCTCGGAGGGA